TTGGTTACAGTTTGCGGCAGAGTGATGGGTATGTGGGTTATGGACGCCATTCTTACAATACGCGCACGGGGGTTGTCTTCTGTGTTGGTCTGAGCTAGGATTGGGCTGCTTTCTGGCGCAGGCAAGACCGATCTGCTGGCAACGGTGCCACAGAGACAAGACATGTATTTGTATCGGATCGTATCGTATTTATTTTGAGCCTGATACCGGTATCAGTATTTCCTTGGTTGGTGAAAAAATACATTGTATCGGATTTGGATTTAAAAATGAAAAAAAAAAAAAAAAAAAACGTCTTCGTTTTTTTTCGTTTTTTCTTCAATACAGCCAAGTATCTTATGTATCAAATACGGTTTTGGTGGGATCAGTCATCTGAGACGATACAGAATACATTTCTCACTTTTCAAATACGATACATGTATATGTCTCAGGAAAGTGAGACAACACAAATCCGGTATTTTTGGGTATTCCAATTCTGAGACGATACAGATAAACGCCTGATACCGTATTGTATCGTCTCTGTGGCACCGTTGCTGCTGGGCACGCTCCTGTCTCCTTATTTCCAGCTCAAGCTCCAAGAGTTAATTGTCAAGAGATTCATTGCCGTCGTCCCGCTTCATCATTTCTGAGCCCACGTGCCTGAAGCATGCCGGTAATCTTGTCCAAATAAAGAAAATCCAATGTAGCTCCAGTGCTTTTTGGTCAAAGAAGGATTGAGACACTTCAAAGAGGAATCTAGAATTTTTCCAGATTTTGGTGATTGATTCTTGGAAGCTGCCTTCAACAATTTAATTCCGTAGAGACGGTCCATGAATTTGAACGTGTTTGCCCGTGTTGGAGCAGCATAGTGACTGCAGATAGCATCCCACAGCTCCTTGGGTTCAAACTTGCCCAGGTCATCAAAAAATCTGATTGCGTTTTGTTTGTCAAGATGTTGCCTGATAATAGCAGCAGCCTGCTTCTTCCTGGCCGTATTATTACCATCACCAGACACGGAAGGGTTGGCCAAAAGGACCAGGTCATCAAGATCAAGATAAGTAAGCAATATGAGGATGCTGTTTTGCTATCTCCAGAAATTAGGGCCATTGAGTTTTTCTACCGTGAAGTAATGTTTGGTGTTTTCCTCTCCTGAGGTAATAATGTAAAGTTCTGAGGTTGAAAGTTATCAATGGTAATTGCACATGGACAGGCACTGCAACTGTTGAACTTAACACAAGTCCCCCCTGGTGGGAGGCTCGCTGGGGTGACTGGCTGGGTGCAAAGGGCTCCCTCCCGCAAACTTGTTGCAAGTCTCTGGCTGCGGGGGGCGCATCTGGCAGCGTAGTGCTGGCAAGGCGGTTCCCAAAGGGAGCTCCCTGCAAAGCAAGGGAATTGATTATTGAACCTCTTCAAATGGCACCCTATACTCCTCAGCAGAATCCTTTTGCCGAGAGAAGTATATGGGTTGTTGTGGAGAAGGCTTTCTGTTTGCTGAAGACAGGAAATCTTCATCTAGTTTGGTGGGCGGAAGATGTCAATACAGCATTATATCTCATTAATCGGACCCCAAACTTGTCTCTGAACATGGACTCACCTTATTTTGTGTGGCACAAAGACAAACCCAGGTTTGATCATTTGAAAATCTTTGGTTGTGAAGTTGTGTATTATGAGGAGAAGCTTGTTTGGGATCCAAAAATGTCCTCTTCCGGTGCGAAAGGAATCCTTTTTGGGTATCAAGAAGGTCACAAGAACTACAGGATTTTGTCGTGTAAGAAAAATGTTGTGATGTTTGCTCATAATCTTTGTTTCAAGGATGATCACTTTCCAGGAATTCAACTTAACTGGCTTCCTTTATCAATTGAAACAACTATCTTCGATTTGCCTGTTGCGGAAGAAGTCTTTAGTCCAGCAAATGTTGGTCTGGGAGATATTGGTGAGGGTAGTACTTCACATTCTGAAGGTTTCCATGATTTAACTTCTGTCATTGAAGATACCCCATGTGCTAGTTCATCACGCTTTGATGATTCCCAGGTCAAACAGTTGCTGCAGGGTTCAAATTCTCATTCTAATCAAGAGAATTCTGAACCGCAATCTCAATCTACTTCAAAAAAGGGTTATTCAAATGTCCCGTACTATGACATTGCCCCACTTAATATTAATTCTACGCTGTCAGAAGATAATGTTATCCTTACCTGTTGCTGAGCTAATAATATTGTCATGGAGCCGTCTGCATCAGATCCATTATCTTATAAGGCTGCTATCGCATCTTTGGCTGCGCTTGATTGGGTGGCGGCAATCAACATTGAGCTTCAAAATATGGAACACCACGTGGTCTGGTCGATTTGTAAATTAATTGCAGGTTGCAAGCCTCTGTTGTGTAAATGGGTCTTTAAGACCAAATTTAACATGTTTTGGGAAATTGACAAATTCAAGGCTTGTTTAGTTGTTTGAGGATTCCTGCAGAAGGAAGGCATTGACTATATGGCAACTTTCTCTCCTACCAGACGACTCCTAACTCTGCATACAATTCTAGAGATCTCTGCCTTTTTGGATCTTGAACTGCATCAGATGAACGTCAAGTGTTTCTTTCACATATTTTTTTATGTATATTTTGCTTTATTACACCAAAAGAAGGGGGTCAAGCAAGAAAAGACCCAGTGCACAGCGGCCCCCATCCGGGGTGTACCAGGGGATTCCCCTTCAAAACGCCTGAGGTCTGGGGGTTTTCAGCATCCAAACAGATGCCGGATCTCCCAAACCCTGAACCCGTCCGCGGGTTGACCTGGATTTGCTTGGTCCGGGCCGGAACCCTAGCATCACCTCTTCTCAACTACCCCGCACCTGCAAAAAAATTGAACTTTGATCTGTATGTTTGTTCACACCAACCATGCTACATGTGTAAACAATGCATATTTGAGCTCTACAGAAGTATTGGAACTCAAAATATAAAGCAAGATTGTGTAGCATGCAAGACAAAAAAGTTTCAAATTTTCAAATTCAAAATTTGGAACACCCATGGAAAAAGGCCACACTATGGCCTGGTGGGTATGCAATATGTATTTATATGGTATGTATTATGCACATAGACCATCTAAATACATGATATTGAGGGAAGAAGGAGGAAAAAATATGAAAACTCAGTGCCAGTTGTCCACCTAACTTGCAGTCATAATTGAAACATCCATCATTGCAGCCCTTGGAATGCAACAATTAGATCTCATCAATGATTTCAATTGGCTGGAGCTTTGGCTGTTGCAAGCGTTCTGGTTTTTGTACACGGCTTTGTTCTGATTGTGTCTCTTCTGCTGATTTGTATGGACAAAAATCTCAAAGAAAAAAATGGCATTGAAAAAAAAGTGAAAAAAATCAACTCCCATTTCAAAAAATTTGGAACACCCTCCTGGGGGTAGTTGAGAAGAGGTGATGCGCACTGTACACTCAAATTTTCTAGCCCAATTCACAGCTGGCAATTTGAATAGTTGAATTCAAGCTACAAATTGGGAGTTTTCAATAATTTGGGCAGCCCCCTTCTTGAGGGTTTAAGCTGAAAGATATTCATTGAGTGCAGAAAATGGTTTCATGAGGTGAAAAAGGTCATGATAGCTTTGACTAACGTAAAATTTGAAGCACCCTGGAATATCATCAACACCAGCTCCTTGAGACCCAGTCACTCACAACACTTCACATTTTTACTAAAGCCTCAATGACTAAAAAAAATTACCAACAAAAAGATTGGTGTGTATACAAAATGCAGGCTAGTTTTCATGGAATCTGAAGATAGCTGATACATGAGACTAGTTACCTAGTAATACTAGATAAGAAGATGCTGTAGATTACTTTACAGAATACAAACAATCACAAACAGTCATACAAAACACAAACAATCTATGTGCAATTTTGAAATTTAATGTGGAATTGGATAAATCTACAAGATCAGGAGACCATCTCTCTTCTCCAATTTTTTTTACTAAAAATATCAGAAAATGAAGGAAAGGTGATCCAGAACAAGATTTTTGAAGTACACAAATGGGTATCAGCAAAAACAAGTTTCTTAAAGTCTAAGACAACTTTGAAGAGAAAAAAACAATTGAGTATCATTCAGGACCAAAGTGATCATTGATTGTAAATACATCACAATGTGATTTCTTCTTAGATACTAAGCTGTTTTGGGTTTTTCTATCATGATATACAATTGTCCATTTAATCCAACTTGCCCGCCTGAAATATGAATGCTGCTACCAGGCTGTTAAGATCACAAAATTTCAGCTTCCATCTTTCTAGATAAATGGTATTCAAACTTTCACCATAAATGTCAAAACATAATTTTGTAAGTGAATTTTGGCACTAAACTGCTCATAACAGAATTGCTGCCAAAATTCATTTTTCCAGTAGTATGTAGTTGAATTTATGGTTCAATTTTGAATACCACCACATTTAAAAAACTTACTTTATTTTGGCACACAGTGGTAATCTTTTCGACATTTGTCTTCAACACATCTTTATTTCTGTTCCAAACAAGAAAAGAAAAACAAGAAAGCATTTAGTGACATATTTAAGACTGATATTTTGATAATTGTTAGAATAATTTTGAAGTACTAACACATTGATAGGTATCGTAGTAAAGACTCTCTTAACCCTTACCTAATTGGATTAATTGATTTTATTCCAGGTGAAAATTGGAACATAATAATATTGAGATAAGAATCAGTGAATTGGGTAAATTTTGAGTGTCATCTTTGGAAAAAAGGATTCACCTGGCATGTTTGGTAAACACTGTCAATTCCAAAATTTTTATCCTGAGTTAACAAGCCTGTTGATTTGTCTAATCCAATCCTATCAATGGCCCTGAATTTTTAATAATATTTGATAGTCAGAGGTATAAAATAAGTAAGGCGTCTTTATGTCTTCCAAATAATAAACCACAAACACTTTACAATCTTCTGTTTTTATCACAGATGGGGTTGTGCTGCTGCATTTTGGTTGGTTTATTGGATCAGTACCTATCAAGTTTTTTGTAACACGTGCTACAAAGGTTGGGGGCTGGCTTGTGCCATCCTAAAGAATTTGAATTGAAAACCTGGTCAGATATATGGCTACAAAGATCAAAAGTGTCAAATGATGAAGGTACACACATATCCTGGGGCACAAGTTTTCAAAATGTCATCTATGGCATTAAGAATGTCTGGTTGTTTAACACCTCTGACATTGGGCAATTTGAATTAAAATAAAAAAATCCTATCAAAACTATTTTAATTTGCAAAATTGAGAATCAAAATCTTACTCACTCAACAAAATTGAGGATATGTATCTAGTGTGACCAGAGAATTATGATCAATGACACTGGAAATTTGACCACCCATTGAAATAGATTATAGTGAATTCTTGGAATTGGAGGTGAACTTACCATGCATGTTCCTCTACCAACTGCAATTTCTAATTCACCTTGACTAACTACTCCTTTTCCATTATCTCCATTTACAAATTTGATTGAGTTACGAGCCCTGTTCACATATTAAGAGTATGTATAATTATGGGAAATCAGATTAAACCCAAATACCTGTCAGTAGGCAAAAATGGTGATGATAGGTTGAAAAGAAATTAAAAAATGGAGAGATTCTGAAAAAGACGGAGCATACGTAGTACAATCGGCCAAGTTGAGGTGGTACTTCTTGGTGCAACTTGCCTGACTGGAGACTAGAAAACTATGGGCAAGCAAGCTGATCAAGATCAAGAAGAATTTACAAGCATCCATTTTTACTGTTCCTCCTATGTATGTAATATTGAACTTATTCTGAGTTGATGGTGAGGTAAGGGAAGGGAAGGGAAGGCGTTGTTCGAACCCGGTCTGGCTTACCGCACTTAAATAGCCTCCCATAAGCGGAGCCAAGGGGTTTGAAACTCGAGCACTGGTGCTTGTTGTTAGAGTTTGTTGCCATGGCCCTCCGACAAAGGCCTACCAGAGCGGGGAAGAGGAAACCATATCAGTGAATAAGTGGGGGGAAGAGGAAACCACATTAGCAAGCAAACATGAAGCCTTCTCGGTTCTCACGCCTACACAACTGAAGTTGAATTTCAAGGAGTTATACAAAACACAAGTTACCTGAGACATCAATGACTAAATGAATCGTGGCTGCTGCAACCCAAAATAACCGTTTCATTGCATGGTCTGGGGTACCAGCTGCCGAGTGACCATTTTTTCAGATCCTTCCAATGTCATAACGACCGACGGGAACATCTCCGGAAATTGGGACACAGATATTTTTGGGGGCCCCCTTCTCCAGGTTTCAAGCTGAATAATACTCAAGTAGCAAAATGCAAAGAGTAAATAAATTAAAAAGGAAAATTGAAAAGAAAATGGAGCAATCATGCTGAAGGAAGACAACCGCCATAGATAGATTACAAGGAGAACAGAAGGAACAGATGAAGGAAGAGACGATGGATTTGGAGTTCGGAATCAACCATTCCCTAGTAGACCCATCCTACTACCAAGTTGCGTGTTCAGAGACACAAAGAGCCCCTTATCTTTGCGAATCAATAAATAACATTAACATTGACCTGCTGGTCTATGTTACAAGAAGAAAACTTATTGAAAAATTAAGAAGAATGTGAAGAAGCAGATGAAAGTGAAAGAAAAGTTAATGTGAGTATCAAGAATCTGTAGATGGATTATCGCTCGAGGAAGAGAGATATCTTCGGATATTCGAAAAGCTTTTTGTAGCCATGATAAAGTAGACGACCTCATTCATTGAGGATAGAATTGAAGGAAGCCGGATTGACTCCACAAGACAAACGCCGTGATCATTTCTTTGGTACAAATATCGCAATTCGAAACCTGTTGCAAAAAAATAAAAACTGATCCGCGGTGTTCCGCTCTCTAAGATAAGCACACCTTCCAAACTTGTTTAATTTTTAAAAGGAACTTGTTGAGTGGAACGTCGCGATTGAAAAATTGTTGCGGCCACCCCCTTTTCTTGCTCGCCCAACGCCGTAATCACCGCCTTGTCATCTACTAGGTTTAAATAACGAAACCGCTTCCTTTCCTCCGTCGAGAAATTATAGGGCACCTTCATTATAATTTATAGCGATATGCAGCTTTGCCTGCTTTTGGTGAAGCTTGCTGGTAACAAGAAGTTATTAACCCCTGTGGATGGTTGTAGGTCGTCCGTCGCGCGGCGCAGCCTCTTTTGTCATCAGTGGTTTCCAGTCCTCTGAGTTTAAACCAATTCAAAAAGCATCCAAACAGCCCATCCAATCATGCTGGAAGCTTCAATTCCAAGAATGATGCAGCTAAAAAAAAGAAAAAAGTGATTCACACTCTAACCATTTAAGTACAATTTGGTCAGCCACCTTGACCATTGATAAATATGGACCACAAAAATATCTGTGAAATAAATTCAAAGCATGCTTGCAGGGGCCAACTCATCTCAGCATTTTCTACAAAATTTTTAGATTTCATTGTCTCTAACAAATCATTTTTATACATGTAAAAAAAAATGGGTATGTTGATGAAAAATGTACAATTTGGTCCTAGGAACATTGGCTGGTTGAAATACAAATGGGAAAAACAAATAATTTTTGTGGGAAAAAAAATGAACAGCTGCATGCAGTTTTTGGCCAAAGTGATGGTGTGTGAATAGATTGATATCTAGATTTGGTTTTGACTGCTGTACTCAATTTCTACCTGGTTTTCCATTGAAAAAAATTCTCATCTCTGTCCTTGAATTAAGTCCAAAGGCTCCTTTGTCCTGAACCACTGCACCAGACTATAAAGATGATCTCATATTAATTCCTATATATTTATCTTACAGAAGAAAAAAATAACTTACATTTTGCTTGCAATAATCTGTAATGACAAGACTCATTTTTTTCAATTGATCATGGTTTCTGTGTCACAAAAAAGGAAGGATATAGCAGTTTAGTTAGTTCAAAGTAAATTTAAAGTATTTGGAAGAAATTCTTCCCATACTTACAGAGTAATGTCCAATTCATTGGATGATCGAATCCGAACCTATTTAAATGAAAAGGTTTTTTTTTGCATGCAAGTTTCAAGTCAGCAAAAGACACTTAAAATTTGATATTTCAAATGTCTTCTTTGCAAAATATTGACTTACTAAACATGATCCACTTGCAGTCTCAATTGTTCCACGTGATTGAGCTAAAATATTTTGAGGGCTGGCTTTGTTTATTTTGATTTTACCAATAGCCCTAATTTTTGATAAGAAATAATATTTAGATGGAAATCAAGTGTAAGCATAGTTACTTTAATTTACTGTCTCCAAATAATAAGCAACAGACTCTATACAATCTTTTGATTTAACATCACCTAATTTGAATTGGCTTTTTATTTTGCAGAAAGGCTTGTTGAGCTTCACATTGCTACCAAATATAGGTGTATCAGGTTTAATCTCATTAATGTATATTGTAAAGGCTGGCTTTGGAACGATTCCAGTCTAATGAGATCAATTCCACATATGGTCAGTAAATTGGCTAAAGGAATTAAGCAGATAAGCTCCTAAAAGTGCTTACAAATCTGTTAGGACACATTGCAAAAACGTCCCACATGGCTAAACCTATGTCTGTCTTTGTGGCAGCGCTGATAACAGAAGAATTTGGATGTGGATCAATTCACTATGCCTGACTTGCAATATTATATGTAAACTTGACAAATGGAGCTTTACTCACCCTGAATCTGTAGCGATGATTTCAATCTAATGGAAAAACAAAACCATTCTTAACCTAATGGCCAGTAGGATTGGATAAGTATAAAAAAATGAGGGAACCCCTGTATACTTACAAGGCACCCCCCAGAGGCAACAGTGATGTTTTTTTCACCCGCCATCACAGCGTCACCAGTCGAAAACTCGATCTTGTTAAAAGTGCTGATTTAAAAAAAACATTCATAGTAAAACAAGAGGTGATGATCAAAACGTTTGCAGTTAAAACAATATGATGCCGGTTGGCCACAACGGAGTCACAGTAAGGGCCTCACTTTGCACATTCATCGGGGTCCACTTTTCCATCAGTAAAACACTTTTTTTCGGGCTGCTGGCTGCAGCGGGATAGAGAGCTGCAGGCCAGCAAGCTTAATATGGTGAAGAAGAATTTATAGGCAGGCATTTCTGTCGTGGTTCCTGTGATTTCTCAGTGTGGTGGTTGTGGGATACGATGAGATGGCCGGTCGGGGAAGATATAATCCGGTTATAAACAATCTTTTTCAATGACCGAGTCAAGGGGGTTGAAACTCGAGTACTGGTGCTCACTGTAAGGAGTGCGTTGTCATGGTCCCTCAGCGAAGGCCCATTTCAGTATTACAGCAGGGAGAGGAAACCAGCTGATAATTAGTGATCACCCTCTTACTGCTGTTTAATCAAAGTCGGCTTTCAAGCAGTCTTCCGAAACCCCATAAAAACCAAGAGGTAAATGAATGATAAATAGGTGCTACTTATCACCCGACATCAATCAAACAAAAGACAGCTTTGAAGCATTGTACAATTGCGGGTGCTATCTGCCAAGATCCTTCGCATTCAAGAAAGACTCACGGGATTAACCGTCGGGTGCGGAGGTGAAATGTTAGGTATTGGCAACCTGATGCAGCGTAACACCAGCTTTTAAATCCGGCATGTTGGGACTCGGGAACCGGTGCTCGAATGCTTGGGGTCGTCTCTAAGGCCAATTTTTGATGTCGACGAGACTCGATAGCTAGCTGAGAGTGACACTATTAGCAAAATGTCTCGTTGAATAGACGTGAACGTGTTGCGTCCAGTCAGAGCGCCGAAGTGTCGGACCACCTGGATCTTGTTATTCCGTCTTTCGCAAGCCATGGTAAGCTTGCCTCGAAGGACTTATTGAAGTTATTTCCGCACTTCCATCTCCCGCTCCCACCACTTTCTCCGTGGTGAACGGCAGTGTGTCACTACTCCATCGGTAATGCTCCACTTATTGAAAATGCAGTCCACTGAAAAAAAAACCTCAGCTTGATTCCAATCAAGGCTGATGAGTTGGTTCGCTGGTCATATAGATTAGATACCTTCTCACCAGATAAGTTGTGGCGTTAAGATACTAGGGGGGCCGAAAGAAGCAGCTATGAACAGGTGAGTTTCCCTAACTTTGTGAGCACGAAAAATGTAAGTCTTCTCTCATAAAATTAGAGGTCTTACTTCTTGGATCCTAAGAGCCTGCTGCAGATTGACATCGGCAGAGAAGTGGCAGAGAAGTGGATGGATTCGGGGGGGTGGTGAAAAGTTTGCGCGCAGATCGCAAGGAGACCATCGTGATCGAATTTGAAGGACTGATCGACATCCTTATCGAGTCTGACACATAACTTTAGCGGTCTCGGACTCTTTTTGGAAGAAGTTTTTGGTAATAAACCCGGTGGGCGGGCGGGTTTCTCAGACTTCCCATTCCATACAACCTTCTAACAGACACCTCCTGGATTAATCCAGCCCACCTTTCATTAATTTTTCGCTGGATCCAGTGCCCAATTTTTGTCATGAATTCCCCGTCGACCTCCTGATTTCATGTTGTATGCAAGACCAGTACTACCATTGTTGCCCGCGTTTTCCTCAATCATCTGGGGCGTGCAGGCATAAAGTGCTGGAGATCGTCAAGGTCCTGCTTCAAGCTCACTTCAAGTCCAGGCGTCATGAATCATAATGGAAGATGCACAAAAATTCCATCAACAATTTTATTTGCAGTAGGCCAGACATTTTCTTACATACCAATTTGATTTTGGGATGTGGTACAGGGGAAAACGATACAATGAAACATAGTCATCAATTCAGAAGTTGACCAGGGTCGCAAACTTAGAAATTGAGTGTATCGATGATGAATTATGACTTTTATTTAATTCTTCGCATCTTCAGATTAATATTCCTGATTCCCACAGAATGTGATTGAGTTTTATTCTCTTGGCTTGATGGTATTGAGGATGGTTTAGCAAGTCATGCTAGTCTACCCAACCCGCCACCCTTGCTCTTTCTCTCTGCCTTTTGTGGCTTCAGCTCTTTCAGGCCAATCGCATGCGCATATTTTTCCATGTTCCTGCTTCAAGCAGGAGACGAAAAAAAATAAAAAAATAGAAACGAGCACTATCAAAAAAGAAATAGAGCATAAGAAATAGATAGAATGATAAACACAAAGCGAGAGAAAGACGGCATTTTGATTTCCAGGCTCGCGCGGTAATGTGAGTTCGCACAAGACGTCCATGAAATATCTCGCGGCTCAAATCTCACTTCAGAGATAATCCATTTCGAGTGCGGAGACGCAGGTGACGGTCACGCGCTGAGTGGCAATGCAATTTACTGCAAGGGCCCACTGGTTCGGAAAGGTGTCTAGTGGGACAAGGGCCGAGAAGCGGATGAGGTCGGGAAGTTAGGGGAGGACGGCGCAGGGCTCGAGTGCTGGAACTACGCATCATACACGACCTAGGTTTTCAAGTGCTCCCGACTGGAGGAAACGACGACTCAGTGGCAAAGACCACCCAGCCGAGCCTGACAGAGGGTCTGAATGAGTGGCCAGGAAACCCATCGATGAGGCTATGCAGTGTGCAGGGTGTATTTTTTTTTGAAACAAAATTTCTCCGCCATGGATATTCATGTGGAGCTGGTAAGTGAGGTTGAAGAAGCGTAAGGAAATCTGGAAGAGTGTTGAGCGGAGGCCTTCGGCGACGCAAAATGTGTATCGAACCTGAGTGGATATTACTGATCCCAAGCCAGGTTTGAGGCATAGATATGAGCTAAGCACGACGGACGTAACAGGAATCCTGGGATTCTCTGCGAGAGTTTCACTTTCTTAGTCCTTGTTGATTGCCTATCTTCTTGGGGTGCAGTTGGTTACAGTTCGCGGCAGAATGATGGGTATGTGGGTTATGGACGCCATTCTTACAATACGCGCGCGGGGGTCGTCTTCTGTGTTGATCTGAGCTAGGACTGGGCTGCTTTCCGGCGCAGGCAAGACCGATCTGCTGGGCACGCTCCTGTCTCCTTATTTCCAGCTCGAGCTCCAAGAGGTAATTGTCAAGAGATTCATTGCCGTCGTCCCGCTTCATCATTTCTGAGCCCACGTGCCTGAAGCATGCCGGTAATCTCGTCCGAATAAAGAATATCCAATGTAGCTCCAGAGTTTTTCGGTCGAAGTAGGATTGAGACACTTCGAAGAGGAATCTAGAAGTTTCCCGGATTTCGGTGATTGATTCTTGGAAGCTGCCTTCAACGAATTTTATTCCGTAGAGACGGTCCATGAGTTCGAACGCGTTCGCCCGTGTTGGAGCAGCGTAGTGACCGCAGATAGCATCCCACAGCTCCTTGGGTTCAAACTTGCTCGGGTCATCAACAAATCTGATCGCGTTTTGATCGTCAAGATGTTGCCTGATAATCGCGGCGGCCTGCTTCTTCTTGGCCGTATTATTACCATCACCAGACACGGAAGGGTTGGCCGAAAGGACCAGGTCATCAAGATCCAGATAAGTAAGCAACATGAGGATGTTGTTTCGCCATCTCCAGAAATTAGGGCCATTGAGTTTTTCGACCGTGAAGTAATGTTCGGCGTTTTCTTCTCCTGAGGTCATGATGTAAAGTTCCGAGGTTAAAAGTTATCGATGGTGATTGCACATTGGCGGGCACTGCAACTGTCCAGCCCCGGAGTCCGGACAGGCCACCCCTCTGCACTCCGCTTGTCCCGGGCTGCGGAACTGGTCCGATATACTCTGTCGATCCGGGCAGATGTCATCTCGAAATCTGCTTAACAAACTTGGAACTCGACCGGGGAATCCGTCAAACCGGTTATGCTGATGATATGTAAATAATTTTTTAGAAGACCATTATACAGCCCTGACTGAGACCACAGGACTAGGGTGATGACTTTGTGTTGGACGGAGATGGAGAAAAAATGGTTCTGCTGCTGGAATGCTGTTGAATTCTAGCCACAATTAGTAAAACACAAGCCTTGTTAGGCTGACTTGGCGTATTTGAGAGGAATGCCTGTGAGACTTGAGTTATAGAAAAAAAGATCTACACCATGCTGTCAACCCCAACACACTGGGTCTTTTTGCCATACCACAGCTTTTGACTGGTTGTGCTTCCCACTGTTTTCAAGAGAGTTTATTCAACATTATTTGTACTGTTCAACCAATTTTCCTGCTTAAATCAACGACATTGATCTGATAGCTACAATGTTAGAGGATTCAGGTTTTCATCTGCCCAAACAATTCAGAAACAGCAAAAGCGAAGCGAAGCGGCCCAGCAAGCACAGTGGGCCTTTTCCGAAAAAAGCCTTTAAAGCAACGAGAAGAAGGTCTTGAGTGAAATGACGGAGGACTGGTTGTGTTATAAACACAGGGGGGCACCAGGCTCATCAGGCATATTCCAAGCGTCTTGAAGTTGAACAAGGAAGACCTGATCGGAAACAAGTGGCAAGATTAGGACCAAGATATATTGGGACTATTTTAACAGCAGGCACAGTGATATTAACAGGGGCTGTTGACTCAAGCAGCGCACCCTGAAAGGAAGCTCGGATGGCCCGAAAGGTGACACAAATCCGAGAAACCAAAATTAGATGTAGCAGAGCTGCAATTATGTACAAGAGTGCTTCGCACTACAAACGTCCTGAAAGCTGGAACAATCTCAAAGCTTGCCAACACAATTCTTTTCTAAAACAACAGCCCTGCCGGAAAATAAAAACAAGATGGAACTGGATGGAAAGCGCCGATCACGATCGTTTACAGGCTTTGGGCTTCTTGCCCTTCTTCGAAACGCTGAATTTGGGCTGTTCGATCTCCTTGCCCGAGGTTGCGAAGACATTCGAGAAGAAGACATGTTCTTTCTTGATAGGTTCCTGTGGGAGAGCAGGGAAAACGAGGACGTCAGTGGCCAATAATCAAGCAGCAGATGCGCGTTTGGGTCAGACTCCAAGACTGGACGTTGGAGATGTGGGCTTACTTGGAAACCGAAGTGAGGGGTGTCGCTACGTTTGTCGACTGGGTCCTTGGAGTCGGCGAGGGGGCTGGTGGTGGTAAGGAGCATTTTGAAAAGGTCCAACCAGTCAGTTTCTTCAACACTTGTCGGGGGCCTTTTTGCTAGGGGCGCACGGGGAAGGAGAAAAGTCGACTCACAATTTGATCAATTGGATGTGGTATTCTCCCTTTTGTTTGAACTCGGGAGACATGGCTTTGGCGTCATTGGGCATAGGGCCTCCAGCCATCTTGAGAGGCTCGGCACCGATTGAAGAGTAAACTGTGAGCGTGCTACAATATCATGGGTAAAATGCGTTTTAGAGACGAGCGCGTGTCAGTAATCATAGCTTCAACAAAAGATTCAAAGCCATAGAGACCTCGAAACTTACTTTGCATCCCAGTCAACAGTGACAGCAAAGTTGTAGTTTTGATCATACTTCAGAGGGAGCGACAGGAGCGTCTTGGTCTTGAAGTCCCGCACTCTGATAGTTTCACTGTTGCTGCTAGGCTTGTGGTCGGTGTTTTGGGCGTCGAAGTCAGACCCGCCGAAAATGTCGAAGATGTGATCACCTGGTTTGGATGAAAATTAGTATCGTGGGATATCTACGCTGCTGGCTGGGTAAGGGAGGTGGGTCTTACCGGACTGTAGAATTGGACAAAAAAAACAAGTCAGCAGGTTGTTGCTAGCGGGCAACAGGAATGATAACTTACGGGTACTTCTATGCTAGCAAAGAGGTAGCCGTGGGTAAGTACCAGTGGGGCTTTGGAGTCCAATCGGATAGTCTAAGGATGCGTAAGTGTTAGGTCAGCTATGTCAAGCTATGCAAATGGCCAATGGGGCTGTGGGCGTGGCGAAGGGTAGCACGTACTTGGTACCATGTGGTGATCCCAGTAAGAGTGGTGGTTTTGTCAATAGCCGGATTGACATCCGTTCGTCTGTGCAAAGGAGAGCGGATATATTATCAGTAAAGGTTAATTGGCTAGAAGAACGGAAGAATGATGACTTACCGGAAACCGTGCTGGGCATTGGCAGAGTTGCCACCTGGGATGAAGATGGAGTCGTCGCGGATCTCCAACTGAATTTCGGAGGGCGATTTCCTGGGGTGGAGGATTGAGACGTATTCCGAGGCCTTTCCAGCCCCTTTAACGATAAATGCGATGAGTTTGCTCAGTGCCGAGCTAGGGTTGTCCAGGTCGGCAGTTTTCATGTCGTCGGTTAACTTGAAATCGAAGATCCGTTTGGTGTCGCCGCCGGACCCGGTGGGCTTGGTGTCGCCGCCGGACCCGTTGGGCTTAGCGTCTCCGCCGGAACCAGAGTTGGTAGTAGTGCTTTTTGCTTCATTGGTTGTTCCCCCACCTGGATTAACGTCTTCCGCAACAGAAAGGCTAGCGAAGAGAAAGATGGCCATTAAAATGGCCCGCTGCATCTTGCCTACGAGCATTGTTGGAGGTGGTTTGAGCTGATGGAAGTGGTTTTAGTAAAAAGTTATTTATAAGAATTTATAAGAATGCCCTGCAAGTGAAAGAAATGTAACAAATAAGGTGAGACGAAAAGTGTTGCTTCGTGGGAGATAGCGAACTTCCAAGGCAATGACCCTCAACAATTTATAGACAAGCTTCCACCACTCTTGGCCAACCGTCAGGAAGGGTGACTGGGATGCGGAACCGGTCTTGTCCGGACTTGAAGAATTAAGCCACATCCTACAGTGGTGTCCTATCCATGGTAACGCGAGACTTTTATACCCTTTAGCACAGATGTGGACCCCATGTACACACTACGGTAGCCGATACAAAAGGTCCCATTTTCGGCGGTTTCTTGAGCTTCTTTGGATCCGGGCGTTTCCCAGAAATCGGTTGCTCCACATTCGCCAGCTGGAGTGAGGCCTAGACCATACAACATCATTTTTGAGCTGTTTCCTAGCACATAAATAAGGCGCCCACAGGTCCGCCATGTACCGTTCGGGAAAACTACACTTCACAAAGCCCCTGACAGCCTGTGACCACTAGAAATGGGGCGCTTGCCGCAGACTACAACATAGAGCGCCTACCGCGGTTGTCAATCTGGGGGTGCTCGCGCGTTGAATCAAAAACAGATCCCTCTGCCTTCGACTGGGTGTAGGATGGAGCCCTGGGGAGAGAAGTGATTATGGAGCCTGTACCATGTGGTTAAATTTTGAAAGATGATCATATTTTCCTTCTACACAAAAAGTGGGAACAATTGAGGAGATCTGGTGTCAAAAGTCTTCACTTTCAGGTCAAAGACTAGCTTTTGGCTATTGTCACTTTTGATGGCATGAAATTTGGAGCAAGATAAATGTTGAGAAATTGAATTTTCATCTCAAATGGTACAGGCCCTTCAATCTCAAAAAATCATCTGCTTTAGATGATTAAAGTATACACATGTTTAGATACGGATCTTGTAGAAACCACACCATTCATATTGACAAGGGTGTACAATGTGGTGGGTTCCTTGTGGGTGTTACAATTTTGGGCCCATTTCCTGAGGAAGAAGAAGATGATGGGGAAATGTTGGAAGAGGAGCTGAGGTTGTTACTTTTCCCACAGTGGGACTTTGAACTAGCTCTAATTGGGGTTTTTGTTACATAAGCTAGTGCAATTACAGGGTTTTACAAAAAATGGGAACTTGGGTTCCAGCTAGTGAGTGGTAATTATTTCCCAGTAGTAGCACAAGTCTTCATCCCCTCTGGTCCAGCAGTCTTGCAACCCATTAATCCCTGCTCCCTGGCATACCCCCAAGCGGTTCTGCTGCGTTCAAGCCACATTGAAGACATTCTACAGCTTTCAAGGTCTGTTGCAATCAGAATGAAGTGTTTCAAGCTACTGTGCTTCCTGTCTGCACCTTTCCTTGTTTGGTCACAGGTTGTGCACCTCCCACCTAACACACAACCCCCTGAGCTTGACGGATGCCAACATGTCTACCTGCTATATCAGAATCAATGGCTCCCATGTCGATTTCCTTACACCTGTACCTGTGGGACTCACGTGGATTGCAGAGCCTCACGCCCTGGTCAATTTGAACAGTGTGTAACATGCGGTGACATACGTAACCCTCAGTTTGATGGACTTTGCCGCTACAGGCAGCACACCAATGTACCATGCAGACATAGAAGATAAACAAAGAGGAAAAGATAGTTCCACAATTAAATAGAATCCAGAACAATTGTTCACACGCACATTGGCTTCAACCCTTTCTTTTTCCATGGTGAACCACAATTGTGCTCTCATCCTCCTATTATCTGAGTTTCTGGTTTACACTTGTGCCACAGCCAAAGCACTATAGCAGAAAGCAGAGTGTAGATCATATTATGAAACTCAAATGTCTCAATCTGTCCACTTCATCAATTCTTGTTTTATCATCTCAATGTAAACCCCTTAGTTAATACCAAACCCATTATTTTTGTGCTACCCTCTCAGGGGGTGTTCCAAAAGACTTTCATTTTTTTTGGAATTTCCATTTTAGTTTCAAAAAAAAAACTGGGTTTTTCTTGTTTTTTCCACAGGATTCTCACTTTTTTTCCCAGCGGATGTCACCTGTGTCAATTAAATTCTTCGGCTCGAAGCCAAAGAAAAAACCGGCAACATCTTCCGCTTGAAGCCAAAGCTTCTGCTGGGCTGGGTGAGCTGCTCTGAGCTGGCTCACCCAGAAGACTAGATTTCCAAAATCAAAACCAGAGACAAAGTCTCTGTAGTTCACACCACGGTCATTTGGGTGTCGCTCGCCATGTAAGCGACACCTTGATGAATCCGCGTGCGTGACTGCGGCAGTAGGCGCAGTCACTGAGCACAAAACCCCCAATGAAACCCCCAGATGTTGCTCCGCGCGGGACCGACACCCAATTGTCTGTGGTGTCAATGGTTTGCACTGGCCCCAGAATCTGCCCACCCATTAGGTTGTGGGTTCAAATCCCACTGGCCCCATCCCCTAATGGGGGTTAGGGGCAGGTTTTTGGGGGAAGGTTTTTGGGGGCAGGTTTTTGGGGGTTAGGGTTAGGGGGTTAGGGGGTTAGGGGGTTAGGGTTAGGGGTGAGGGTTAGGGTTAGGGGTGAGGGTTAGGGTTAGGGGTTTAGGGTTAGGGGTTTAGGGTTAGGGGTTTAGGGTTAGGAGTTTAGGGTTAGGGGTTTAGGATTAGGGGTTTAGGGGTTTAGGATTAGGGGTTTAGGGTTAGGGGTTTAGGGTTAGGAGTTTAGGGTTTAGGGTTTAGGGTTGAGGGTTGAGGATTTAGGGTTTAGGGTTAGGGTTTAGGGGGGTTAGGGCTGTTTTTTCTAGAAAAAATGGGCAGAAACTGTTTTTTTTGCAGTTTTGTACCCAGCTCACCCAGCTCACACCCAGCCCACCCAGCTCAGCCTTGCCTTTGGCTTCAAGCCAATGATAATGACACCATTATCTTCGGCTTGAAGCCAAAAGTTTTAAATGATAAAACTCGCGGATGTTGTGGTTTTGATTTTTGATGTATTTTGTACAGCTTTTATTGCTCCAGATAACTGATCTTATGACTTTTATTTTTTATTTCTCATCTAATATGCACATAACACCTGTATATATGCATACTAAATACTAAATAAATCCATAGTACATACCTAGAACTCCATATTGTGACACTCCTGGGTGGATGTTCCAAATCTGAAAAAAAGATGAAACTTTTTTTATTACAGCTACTGAGTTGTGGTTGTAGATTTGGGTTCTACCACTTATGTAGATCCCAAAAACATATAGTGCACATATGTAGGCTCACTTGAGCGGAAAAACATACCAGTCAAAGTTCAAAAATAATTTTGCAAGTGTGGGGTTACACAGAAGAGCCCCGGGGCACTGTAGCTGAATTTGATCCTTTGTCTTGCTCAGATTTTTTGATACATCATTTTTTTGATTTTTAGAAGCTCAATTGGTTCCAATGTGAACCAATTCAATTGATATAACTTTGGGACCAATGCAGTGGTAAAGAGATTTTCATACTATGTTTACTATTCAGCTTAGCCCTTTTGACTTTACCTATTGTCCACACACACAGAGAATGAGTGAAGGGAAGAAGCAGAGTTGGATGGATTTTCGGGAAAGAATTTTGAAAGGAGAACAGGTGGCAGTCAATAGTCGGAGTTATCAGTTGAGTGTTGGAAGAGGATGAGGATAGTGAAAAGAATTGTAGAAGGGAGCAAAGCGCAATGCGGAACGCAGAATTACAACAGGTATCTACAGCTTCAGAATGAACAAGGCTCATCCCATCCCCCCTGTCCTACTTTTTGACACCTGCAAGAAGTGATTCATTTAATTAATCAGTCATAAAAACAATGAATATAAATTTTGTTCAACTATCCTGGTTCAAGATCATTCCTGCATTGAGATGATGGAGGGTCCTCTTAGTAGAGACATCAATTGCTTTTCAAGAGACTATTGTATTATACTGGCCTGAACCCAGTTTGTGGTTTCCTATGTAGTCAAGACAAAAATTCATATAGAAACCCAGCATATTACCTTTCCTCCCACAAATTGTTTCATGCTTTCTCACCGTTTAATGATCTTAATTAACCCTCATCATCTCCTTTGGGTCAATCACTATTGCTCTTGGGTGCACATAATCAAAAATCTGAGAAGGAAAAAAAAATATTTTGTGGCGGGGTGCCACTGCCAGCCAGGGTTTTTAAGTGTGTTTTATAACTGGTCAGGTGAGAAGCGTGATTAAGAGGTTTCAATTGGAAGAATTTGGAGGTTCTGGCAGTTGGTGCTCAGTGCATTTGTGGGGATGCCGTGGACACTGAGTCATGTACTGGTGGTTGGACTCTCTGCCACATTTGTAACAACGATCAAACCACTTTTCGGGACTTTCAGGGCAAGTAGGGTGTATAATTCCAAGGGGGCAGTCAATGGGAGTTCTACAAGGGACAACTTGATGGTGCGGGTAAGTTGAGTGCTGGCACAACAGCTGGGGGTCATGCAGGCCGGGGGCTTGTGCAAGCAGGAGACCCGGGATTGCTGCAAGAAGGCCCAGCAGTGTCACAGATCTCATGAGGAGACAGTCACCAAGTGATGTAGATGGAACCAAGTGGGAATTGAACACAGGATCACTTCTTTCAGGTATCCACAAGTAGAAGGCCACCCAAGTAGGACAGGGGGGATGGGGTGTGCCTTGTTCATTATGAGACTATAGATACCCCACAGCACCCTGAAACTAATCATACCCTGCTTGTTGCCTGAATCACAGAACCAAGAAGAAATGGTAAACCAAGAAGCTTGAGAGAGCCTGGTAAGCCAAACTTAACTAATGTCCCCCTCCCCCCCCCCCCCTCATTGGCTGTGGCTTCTGCTGGGAGGGATTTTTACTTCCAGCCGTTGAGGTACATGTACCTCGTCGGCTGGAAGGGTTTCCTTCCAGCTGGCGAGGTACATGCTTGACAGCTGGAAGGAAATCCTTCCAGCCGTTGAGGTACATGTACCTCGATGGGCTGGAAGTATATCCTTCCAGTCGACAGGGTACATGTACCTTGTTAACGGGAAGGGATTTTCTTCCCAGTTGACCGCGGAGGTAGAGTGTACCCCGATCCCCTCGGCCGCGGAGAGGGATCCCTCTCGGCCGCCAAGATCTTTCCGGGACCGACTCCCAACCCCCCTGGGGTTCTTAAGGGATAGACTCCAAAAAACCGGGGGGGGGGGGGTTCCCACTATTTGCCCACAGCTACCGAGACTCCGTAAAGCAACCTGTTAACGAGCCTACCAACAAACACACTACCCAAATGGCCACGAACACCCCCATCCCCTCCACCCCACACACACAAGTCCCCTCCACCCCACTCAACACACAAGACTCCAATGTCGACAACGCTAATTCCAAGAGAAAAAGAGGGCCAAACTGGCTTCCCCGTGAGGAAGAACAGCTGGCCATCTCATGGCTCAACGTCAGCGAACAACCGGAATTTGCCGCCAATCAGTCGGGCGAGACATTCTATCGAAAAATTGAAAATGATTTCAACACCCACTCAAAGGCTCACTACCGTGATGCAGCGCAAATCAAAACCCGGTAAGCATCTCTGCTTCAGCTAATGATCTGGTTCCTTTACTTACTGAACTACCCTGGCAGATGGACTGCAATGAACACCGCCACACTTAAATTTGCTGCAATCTACAATGCGATTGAGCGCAATCCTCCCAGTGGTTCCAGTCCTGATGATTGGCTCGAAGCGGCAAAGACAAACTATCAAGACCAGACCAAAGGGACAGCATTCAATGCACTCTTGGCTTGGCAAAAGCTCCGTCATGCTCCGAAATGGCGAGCCAATGCTTGCGTCGATCAACCATCCACACCAAGGGCACTACCAATACCGACATCCGATTCAATCGACCCCAAAGAGTCGCTCTCCAATACCCCTGCTTCATCTAGTGCTCGTCCGATCGGTGGGAAGGCAGCAAAGAGGCTTCGAATTGAGGGCTACGCACACGATGAATTGGTCTCAAAAGCAAGCGAGTTTGCCGAAATTTCCCAAGAACGACTTGGCGCTCTTTTGAAGGGGAACGAAATTCTGACGGCAAAAAACAAGCTCCTGAAGGAAAAAAACCAAATCGAAGAGAAGCTGCTTGAGTTAGAACGAGAGAAGATAAAAATAGAGAAAGAAAATCGTCGGAGTGAGACCCAGATGAACGACATAAAGATGCTCCGTGAAAGTGTGGATATTGATGACGATGAGGCCAAAGAAGTCCTGAAGATCATCAAGGATGAAATCAAGAACAAATGGCGAGGACGGGCCTGATTTTTCACCTCATTTTTCTGTTTTCACTTTGAGCTTTCACACCTTCCTTCTTCACTTGCTTTGTCTCACAGGGCCCTCATCCCCTACTGTTTTCTTTTAACCCAACCAACCGATCTCACTCGTTGTTTGCAAAACATGCGTATCTTTTATTCAGATTGATCAATCTGACATATTTTCACCATGTGCATAGATACAAGAAATAAGAACATGAAAAAAGAGAATGAAATTTCAACTTTAAGCTCGCTCATCACCTCGGAGCAACCAATTGTAAATCTTGAGATCCTCGCGTAACTGTGCATGGGTCTCAGGATTGTGTAAATCAAAGTTGTTTTGAAGATAATTACCCCATGTGTGTTCCAACAATGGGTCTCTATGATTAGGGACGATTTCAGCTGAAGGGGCAGTCAGAAAGGGGTCGGCCGGTGATTGTTCCTCAACAATCATGTTATGGAGAATGATGCAGCACATCATCATCTCCATCACATCATGCTTCTCCCATAGCCGACATCCCCGTGTGAGACAGTGCCATTGGGCTTGAAGGACACCAAACGTCCTCTCGATGTCCTTTCGCGCGGATTCCTGAAGCTTTGCAAAGTGCTCAGAGGCCCCACCCTGCGGGTGTTTGATCGACGAGACCAGAGTGGACCATGGTGGGTAGATTGAGTCGCAGAGATAGTAGCCCGTGGTGTACTCGTGTCCGTTCAGCGTGTATACAATGGAGTCCGACGCGCCAGCAAGTAATCCATCGAATAGGTGACTCCGATGAAGGACATTGATGTCGTTAAGGGCCCCCGGAGTGCCAAAAAATGCATGCCAAATTCGAAGGTTCTTGCTTGCGACAGCCTCTAAGACCATGGTAGGCTTCTTTTCTTTCCCTTTGTACTGGCCTGCAAATCCTGATGGGCAGTTCTTCCATGCCCAATGCATCCCGTCGATGCTGCCAATACAACCTGGAAACCCTCTTTCCTCATTCTCACTTAGTATCGTCTGTAGTTCCTCGTGGTTTGGAGGTCGAAGATACTCCGGGCCGTAGAGTTTGATGATGTGCTTGATGAAGCATTTCAGTGTTTGCAGGGCCGTCGTCTCCCCAATTTGTACGTACTCGTCCAAGATATCTGCACTGATACTGTATGCCAATTGTCGCAGTGCTGCCGTCATTTTTTGATGTGTTGAAAGGCCTATCTGGCCACAGCAGTCCTACAAAATATTGGTAAGAAGTCAGCCAATAAGATAAAAAAAGAGCTAATTTACATTTTACGCAATCAACTTACAGCTTTTTGAACCCAGAACCGGTCATGTTGCTGAAGATCGTCACATAATCGATTGAATAGGTTGCGGCTCATCCGGAAGCGCCGCTCAAAGATCCGATTGTTATAAACCGGATGCTCAACAAAGTAGTCTTGCATAAGTCGTTCGTTGCCTGCGATTCGGTTCCGAAAAATCTTTTGTCTGGTGCCGGTAGGAATGTTTCTGGGTATGGGTTGTGTTGCTGCTGCCAAGAGACGGCGAAACCAGTACTCTTCTTTGATGTCCCAGAGGTAATCGAAGTGGAGTGTATCAGGATCCATGGTGGGTGGTTCTGCTACGGAGGGATGCCGACGGACACGAGTGTGGCAGCGGCCTCAGTATCTAAATATAGTTTGCCTACCGAGCCGATACCGACTGCCCAGGGGGGACTTGACTCGGTAGCTAAGCAACCCAGCCTCGCGGGCCTCGCTGGCTACCTAAAGAGTTACCACAACGATAGTGGATGCTCTAAAGGTCTTAATTTTTGGCAGAAAAAAATCTTTCTTCAGAAGCCTTGTAGTAAAGGCCATTATGTGATCTAGCTGTATTTGTGATTAGAGTGTTAATTTAGAACTGAGAGAGGTCTAAAAAACACTCTAAACCGCGATGGGAAGTCCTCCATTGACCTCCTTGTTTGCTTTATTCTAATACAATTTGAAGCCACATCCCTCATGTCTTCATGTCCTTTTTATTTTTCTAAGTTTGATTTTCTCAAATTTCTTGACAATGCAGACAGATAACAAGAAAATTGTTTGTGCACACTCACCAAAATAATTGGAATCCAATTACTGTTTGTTTTCTAATATTTTTTAAAAAAAAAATGTACAGTTGACTTACAACATGTTGAAAAATATGTAAAATGCAGGGAAGAAGCATGTGATATAGCAAAAATGAGACGTGGGGATAGGGCTTGAAAATTACAAGTAACAACAATGCTAACAGAAAGAGGAAACAAATATACAGAATTCTTGTGCAACAGTTCCTGATAAGTCATCAGTCCCTCCAGCAGAAACCACAGGCAATGAAGGGGGGACTTGGTAAAGTTTGGCTTACCAGCTCTCTGAAGCTTCTTGGTTTTGTGATTGAGGCAACAAGCAGGGGATGATTAGTTTCAGTGTGCTTTATAGCCTCATAATGAACAAGCCTCATCCCATCCCCCCTGTCCTACTTGAATAACACTCTACAGCAGTTCCCAGAAAGCTTGCGCTCGCGAGCTCCTGGGATCTGATTTTTTTTTTATTTTCTTTCAACTTTTTTTTGCGCCTCATAACCTGTACACATGACTGTACAGGTTGCAAATCTGCTGCCAAGGCCGGGTGAGGCCTCCGGGCACCTGTAGGTTGCCTGGTGGGGGCTGGGTGCAGCGGATGTGAAGACCCGTTCCGACTCAAAAAAATGAGAGGAATCCAATGGTCCAACTCCCATATCTTCAACTTGAAAAATGGGGGAGTTGGGCCATGATGCCTGGAATATTATGGCTGTACGAGGCCACGTACAGGACAGAAAAACAAAAAAAATCGAGGCACAAAAAAAAAAATTGGGATCCCAGGAGCTCGCGACAGCAAGCTTTCTGGGAACTGCTGTACTAGTTGACACCTTCAAGAAGTTACTATTTGTTCGATTCCCCCTCGGGCCCTCTGTACACCACTCGTTGACTGTCTCCCCATGACGTCTGCGACACTGCTGGCCATCCTCGCCTTGTTTCCGGGTTTCCTTCTCGCTCAAGCCCCCGGCCTGCATGCCCCCCATATGTTGTGCCATCACTCGACGGACCCACACCGGCGACTCGTCACTTGTGGAACCCCCATCAACTGTCCCCTTGGACTCATACACCCTCCGTGCCCCGAAAGTCGCCGAGAAGCTTATGATCGTTGTTACAAATGCGGCAGAGAGTTCAATCGCCGGTATACGGATGACTGTCGACGGGGTCCCCACAAATGCATTGAGCACCAACTGCCGGAAGCTCTGGCTACCCCCGATTGAAACCGCGTACTCACGCTTCTTACCCGACTGGTTGTAAAAGGCATTTAAAAACCCTGGCTTGCGCCCCGCTGCAAAATATTTTTTCCTTCTCAATTTTTTTATTATCTGTATGTGCACCCGAAAGCAATGGCAAGACGATATAGCTGGCTAAGAGAAGACGAAGGGATCGAGATAAGTTCATTAAAGGGTGAGCAAGAATGTGAAACAAGTTGTGGTAGGTGTTGAGTTATGTGACATGTCATTGCTTGCTACATGTTCACAGTTGTCAGTGTGCTTCTTCCTTCTTCATTTCATTCATCTCTCTCATGTCACACTCTGTGACATCCACTGTTTTCTCTCAGTTTATATACTGGAGTCATATTTGTGTCTGGGAGGATTTCCTTTCCTCATCCTTTCCAACATATATGTCTCCAGGTATAGTCCTCTTTCTTTCTCTTTCTCTTCTCTTTTCTCTTTCTTTTCTGTGATGTTAAAATGAACATGATCCTTTCCAACATATATGTCTCCAGGTCTCTAGTCCATCTCAACAGTAGGAAAGGTGATATGCTGGGTTTCTATATCAATTTTTGTCTGGAGTACATATACAGGCAACCACAAAGCGGGTTCAGGCCGGTATAATACAACAGTCTCTCGAAGAGGAATCGATGACTCTACTAAGACAACCCTCGATCGTCTCGATGCAAGAATGAGCTTGAACCAGGATAGTTGAACAAAAGATATATTCATTGTTTTTATGACTGATTAATAAAATGAATGATTCAAAGAAAACGGTATGTGATTATAGACAAAAGCAAAGGCCAAAGAGAAGAGAAAAAAAACCAAGGTATGTGTAATCTAGAGAAACAATGCTTGAAAGAGAGGGAGAGAGAGAAGATACACTTAAAGGAAGAGATTAACATGGAAATGGTTAGGGAGAGTCTTTAAGAGAGGAAAAACAGAGATCCGATTCGTTTACGGATCTCCTTGCCAATGAGTTTACGTTCGAGACTGAGGACGGATTCGCCGTCTTTGACCTTATTAACAACGAACGAGCAGGTCAGAATCTGTAGAAGAGGTGAGAAATGTATCTGAGAAGGGGGGGGGGCTTACTTCGAGGATAGATGAGTTCTCTTCTGCCCGACGAGCGAGATAGGGTAGGACCTTGTCCACTGGGCCGAATGGTAGATACTTGAACACGAATGGCTGTGGGTGTTTTTGATTATCGGCGTCACTCGGGGCCAGGATTTGAGTCAGGGTTGAGGTCAGGTTATCAGCCATTCCTGCAAGATATACAAAGAAAATGTGAGTTCCCCCTCAAATCAAAAAATGAAAAGAAGAGTGAAAAGGTGGGGGAGATTACCATAGAGCTGGGCAAACATTAGTCTACCCCTCAAGCTATCTGAGAGACGGATGCTCTGGCCGTCAACATTCTTAGCGAGACCTTCTTCGTCTCTGAGTTGTTTGAGGACCTTAGCAGCCGAGATCGGGTTATGTCCGGCGATCATCATGGCGACTTCGATAGAGTTGGAAGAGCGAGATTGTCTGGGATCGGAGGTGAGTCCCTGAGCCCGGCGGGCGTTACTAGCGAGTTGTTGGACGAGGCTGGAGGCAAGGTTGTCGAAGCAGCCGTCGGTCTCAGCCTTGGAGGCCCACACAGGCGGGTGATCGGGGACGCCGGGCCGGCCGGCCGCACGCGCCTCCCGCCATCGGGCCGTCTCCGAGACCAAGTAGGCCCCTCGGACAAGCTTCACACCCACCGAAAAGTCCCGCTTGTGCCCCTCGTCGACATATTCTGCTAGTCGCTCCGGCGTGGACCGTAGGAGCGCCTGGAAAGTGTTGAAGACCGTCGGTGAGTAACTCGCCGACCCAGGTCCCTCTGATTTCGATTTGTTGAATTCGGCCGAGAGGAAGGTAGCTATTCTGTCCAACGCAGGCTGGTAGAAATAGAGCGTGGAGGATTCAGGATCCTACATGAACAGAATCATGGAAGGACCATGGGGGGGGGGGAACAATCACCTGAAACCAGCTGTATTCAGCATCGATCATGATCACAATGTCGGCCGCTTTGGCCTTCTGACAGACGCCTCTGAGACTGTCCATCAATCCATCGAGGGTGAGATGGTCAGCCGGGGAGAGAGGATCAGGGATGTGGGAGTTGACGATTGGGAAGGGGGAGCCATTGACGCGGAAGGGGGAGAGGCCATTAGCAAGCAGGTTCTCGGAAGCGCGCTTGAAGAGATACGGGTCGTCGACGAGTCCAGAGACCTTGATGGCCACCGCACTCGGCTTCATTCGCGCCGAACTCGCCGCATAGCCCTTCGCTCCCGACTCATATCCCGCTAATGACTCCACCGTCCGCGTGATCGCCGCTACACTCTCTCTGCTCAAGCCGCTCTCTGATGATCCCTTCCCCGCTCCCTCTAACGCTTCGACTGAGTAGTTTAATAATGATCCTACTTCTCCTTCATACAATGCCTTCATCACCGGCTGGCAATCTTCCGCCGACTCCCCGCCTGTGTACTGTTTTTTTTTTTTTTTGCATTCAATAAAAAACAGCAACCATCAGTCAATTTTTAAGATCATCAATTTTTGGGAGAGAAAATGTGTAATTATTTGAAAGGATTTGCTCACATGTGAAAAAAATGTGTGGAAGACGAACTAGTTACATCATACTGATTGAGCGGAGGAGGGAAGCCGAACAAAATTCAACACGAGAATTTAAAGCCGGGAACAAGGATGTATTAGGTCAGAAGGGAGGGGGAGGGGGAAAGGCTGATTGATTTGATGAAGGGGGGGGGGGGGTACAGACGTACCCATTCGACGACAGACCAAGTGGCAGGGCCAAGGATGGGGACGTTATCTCTGAGAGAGATGCAATGATTTAGCAGGAGGGGCCCGTAAGTAGCGACGCCGGGGATTTCACACAAGAGCAAGGTCAGATAACTACGGAGGAGGTCAGGGGCGGCTTTCTGGGCCACATGGGCGGCCTTCAGTCTGAGTGCATCCGGGGCTAGTGCCGCGAGAGGGTCATCGGGGAGGTCGGCGGTCTGGAGGGCATAGACCGTTGCGCCGGAAGCTAGTGCGCCTAGGCCGAGCGCCGTGGCCAGCAGAGTGTACCCCGTCGATCCGCGGCCCGGGGAGGGGCCGGCCCAAAGCCGAGCTCCGGTGGGCCCGGAACCTTGCTGGTGACTGGAGCCATAAAATCTCCGCGAGCAGAAGCCGGGCGTCGATCCGCTGCTTAGATAGCGCGAGGGACTGGACCTCGAAGGCTTCGTGAATGATTGGCTCGGCCGGATATTCCGGAGCCCCATATGGACTGGTCCCAGACGGATGAGAGTCATAGCTTGGAGGTCGAGGTGGCCGTTTCAGTGCTTGGCGGGGTGAATGAGGCTGTGTTGGATGGACAAGCCTTCCGACGAATCGTTTGGGATATGGTTTCTGCCAGGAGGTTTTCGAGGCTGAGTGTCCTGGCGAGGATGGCGGACCAGAATCGACTTCCGCAAGGTGCAGTTTGCGGATTTGGGCAGGGGGGGGGGGGGGGTCAGCTGGCTCTTGTTACACTCAGAATTTTAAAGTGTGGGAAAGATGGATTCCGATCTCTCTGGTCACTGGTCCGAATCCGATCGATCGGCTCGAAAGTTGTACGGACTATTATCAAGGGTCCAAGATGTGTAAGGAACCCAAAGAAGGGGGATATAATCTGTAACCTCTGAAGGATCTGGCCAAGATTCTGGAGAGATGAAACGCCGGAAGCGAGCCTGCAAGCCAGTGGTTTCAATTCATCGACAATTGCGACTCGTCGCGCTGGTTTCAATGGTAGCCGATTGGATGTATGAGGACGGAGTGCTTGGCTGTGGCACGTAAAACCAGCTCCGACTAGGAGGTGTGGATAGAAGGAGGCCATTCGTATTGTAAAAGGCTCATTTCCAAGGAACTCTCTCTGCGTCTGAGAAGGAGTATATACAACTCGCTCGGGATGTCCGAGGAATTAGCGTTGCCACCAACAGCCATCATCCAAGCTTGTCGCCCATACTTCTCCACCATCAACATCCAAGACAGTATGAATATTTATGTATCCGTAGTGATGAAAAAAACGCAGAGCCTGAAGATCGATCGTCCCATCAAAAAGAATGGTCCAGACGACGATCTGGGTTCGTTCTGGTCGTTACCATTGCGACATCGGCCTTCCGAGCTCGATGACAAGCCGATCTGAATACTTATAACTGAGCAGGGTGCAGCAGATTTAGCCGACAGTTCGGTCATCGAAGTGAAACTTGTTCCATACCTCTCGGTCCGATTTTAACAAGCTTAACACAAGTCCCCTCCGAGAAGCAGACTTTCGATGTTTCGGTAATCTCGGCACGAAGGCCGAAATGGAATACACACGGGTTGGAGGTTGGCCGTTGGCTGGCTGCTCCGCTTGCTTAGTTGTTGCAGACCACCCTCTGAAGAACTATGAACCTCCGTTGTTCAGATATAAATGCCAGGAAGAAATAGTTTAAAAAAATCACAGACTCCCTTTGCCATCATTATCAGGCTAGAAGTCGACTCTCGATGTTTTGGTAACCTCACCATGAAGGCCGAAAGAAACTACGGGTTAGATTCTTGTCATGTATGGGCTTCCGCTTGCTTAGTTGTACTAGACCTATGAGTTGATTAACTACTTTGCAGAGAACCTTTTGAAAATTAAACATTTCTATGAATATTTGAAGCTTCGTTCTTCAATACTAGCAGCAAGTATCTAAAAATTCTATAGCCTCCCTTTGCCATCAATAGGTTTAATCATGTATAAGCATGAGGATTCAGCGATTGGATCGTGCAGGAAATTTATATTCCATAGCTGATGGAGAAGAAGCTAAAAATTAAAAAGCTAAGAAGAAGAAGACGCAGAAGAGGAAGAGGAAGCCGCTGGATGGATAGCGCATACGACGCCTTGGTGATGTTCATCTGGGCCGTTTGGGCAATCTGCGAGGAACTGCCGGGCGGCGACGGCATTGCACGTGGTACAACGATGATTGCAGGCTCTTCGAAGAATTTTGCAGGGTTGATGTTGGACTCCGGCCGCACAGGTGACTGGGGACCCACACGCAATGGTGAAAATAGCACTTGGCGCGGTCACTGGGTGCTGGCATTGGGGGTTTATCGCTTCGCCATACTTGATCATCATTGAACATGCCAGCAGGGCGCTTAGTAGCTGGACGGGACTCATAGTGGCGACTGGTAAGATGGGCAAATTGGTGTCTACAACGAGGTCTCGAATACTCGGACTGCTCCTTTATATATATAAGTTCGCTTCATGCGTGCTTGGTGCTTCTCGGATTCGGCTTGGAGGTGTGCACCCCATTGCCATTATAATCGACTGCATCTATTTGGCGACTCCGCTTCAAGATCTGACTCAAGAAAAACAAAACAAGCAGTAAAACATCTTTCATGCACCGCCCCTCCAACCAAGCAACCGAATTTGAGTGCTTAGGGTTGATCGATTTCGCATTTTCAGTTGGCCAAGAGATCCCGATACATATGGCCCGGCGGTGAACCCGTGTTCAATCATACTAAGCTGGCATCAATTTGAACTCAGTTATGTATACGAACCCAATCGAATTCTTATGTACCCAAAACTTTTTGGTCATGGGTGCCATTTAGGCTCCAGTTGGCATTAAACCAGCAATTTTGATTTCGCATTTCCAGGTACATAGCCAAGAGATCCCGATACATGGCCCGGTGACCCCGTGTTCAATCATACTATTAAGCTGGCATCAATTTGAACTCATTGACGAACCCAATCGGATCCTTATGCACCCAATATTTCTTGGTCATGGGGGCCCTTTTTAGGCTCGACCAGTTGGCAGTAGTATACACCAGCAAGTTCATCGGTTACATCGGGCTTGAAACACAAAAGTCTAACCGGTTGAGACCCTCAATTGCCCAGCACATATCTTATACTCGGCCGGTGAACTTCCCCCCGACAAAGTCATGTTGTCTGATAAAATCAAGCACTCATTATTTTTATTGTTTCCTTTTTGTTTCCTTTGCGAAGTTGGAACAAGAATTTCAAGATGAATTTGAGCTCTCATGTAGGCTATAGCACACCATTCTTTACAAGAAAAAGTCAAATCTTGCACGTAAATATATTTCCTGTCCGAGTCTTTACTGCTCCGAGAGGCGTTTACCGGAGGCCTCGTCACTAGAATTAGAAAGCACTGGTGCTTTTACCTCAACGCCCTTTCATTCACAGTGCTGTGTGCCACCACCTGAGGTTACATAATAACACTTTACCTCCCGGCCTCGGGGGTAGATTCCGAGAATGAAACATGGGGGATGCTTCCGTGGGGCGTTAAGGGATTGGAAGGATATGAAGGCGAAGCTCCGTCGGCGGCTGGCACCCGAGATCATACAATCAAAAGGAGGCCCGTTTCTCTGGTCTGGCCGAGGTCGGGCGCCTGCGGCCACCATTCATTTATCTCGTGATGTTTGTTAAGGTTGCGGAAGAATGCTTGGAAGCCGACTTCGAGCACGCGACTTTCAGAGGCCTTTTCGTTTGGTCAATCGATTCGTTTCAATTTTCCTGTTCTGTGGACCTTGGTAACCATTCCTTCCAGCGAATGCCAGTTCTCGGATGCCCCCCCCCTGTTGTTGGAAGACTCTTATTTAGCCCGGCGAATCAAGCTCTCCCTCATGTCGCCATCCTTCACCATCGTCAGACTTTGTATGCTCTCTTAACTCCTGACATTGTCATATCACACCATCTTCATCAGCCTACATCATTACCAACAAAAATGACTCTTTTTAAATTCTTCTTTGTTGCAATCTGTTTGCTAGCTCACACTTCTCCATCTCGTGGCCAGGGCGGTCTGAGCTGCCCTTACGTATCCAAAGCCCCCCAAGACAATTGTGACAAGTATGTTACGCCTGTTCCAGATTCTTTCTCTTCTTGTGACTCCAGTTCAACCCATCCGTGATGCATTGCCATCCCTGATCTGGTGCTTACTCACTAGTGGCTTTAGTTATACACCCTCGATTGATTTTGAATATATTCTTACACATTTATGTTACACAGAGCTTTGGAATCTATCCAATTCGCACCTGATTACACAATTACTGCCGGCGAAACAGAAATCGATGTGAGCTCTGGCCTATGCAAGGTAAGTTCATTGGTTTATCTTTCAATCCCTAAATATAATCATTATCCACAGAGGGGATTCAAAATCATACTGAGCATTATTTTGTCCTACAAAAAGATAAGAATTACCACTGTAAATGGTGCAGGGTGAGTAAATCTGAGTTTTCTAACTTCAGATCTTCAGCGTGAGTCAGTGAATGTGTATTGATTTCATGGAAAAAAAAAACATTACCATTGCCAGAGCTGTCAGCAAGCAAAATATAATTGATGGAATGAATATAATTTACAATGGCTGTAAAAAATACTTTGTATGCGCTTTATTTACTTGACCTGTTGGATTTCTTTAAACAGTCATCTGACCAGAATTGGGATTCAATGTTTTCAGGCTGGGATTTATGCAGTCAATGCGTTCACTATTGACATCCAGGAGGTTCCGCCCACGGATCCCACTTTTGGTTCGCGTGTGCAGTTCAACGAGGCAGTCTGCCTAAATCCAACATCAAAAAAACCAATCATACCCGCAGATTGTACAAAGTATGTTCCTTACTATTTGAAAGGGGAAAATGAATAAGACTGATTTTTTCTATTCTGGTTGTTGCTTTTGATTCAATAATTAGGGGTGCTGCTAATCTACCTATACAAGGTCAAGGCCCTCAAGGTCTGTTAAAGCAAGTTAAAGGTCAAGGAATCCTCAATCTATCCGCATCATGTAATGTGAGTCTATTTGGCCCAAAGATCACAAGAATTTAGAACATTCAACACCTCTTACATTTTTTTAATTGACTTGAATTTGATTTATGAAATGGACAACTAATGATACAAACAGATAACAGTTACTGCAGGAAATAAATTGGATATCACTCTGTCAGTATTTGAAGAATAAGCTTCAGTGAATAAGAAAGTTTTTCTGATATACTCAAGACTCCTCATCCTTTTTCTTCCCATGGAATAGAGATAAGGAGACTTTGAAAACCATGATGAAAAAAATAACAGACCAATGCAAAACCAGTGTAAGTAAAAACTTGTTTCATCTGAATCAATATTGTTTGACATTGACATTTCAATTGTCCTTTCAAAAGCCTGGTTATATGACAGTTGGTAAAGGCACTTTTGGCTCCAATGGAAGGGTAACATTATCAACATCACTCAATAGGAACCAACGTTAGCATCAATCAGAGAACTTTGTTTTCAATTGGCCTGGCCTAGAGTTACCAATCAATGTTTCAAGTAACTTTGTACTTTTTAAGAAGGCTGTAAATCAGTTTACCAGCTTAGTCTTGTTTCAATTTTTTGAAGAGATCAGATTCTGTTTCTTCATTTTTTTTAATGTTTCTTCTATGTAAAGTTGAGATTTGTTCTTTCTTCTTTTATCAGAAGAATTTCCAAATGGTTTGTAAAAGATATTGCTTTTATTGAGTGAAGAAAAATAGCCCTGTTCAAAGAGGGGGGGGGGTTGCCTTCTGATGCCACCAGTGCAACAAGGCCTTTCTTAGTATTGCTGAGGATCAAATGTAGCCTGTCACATGCCTGAGTTTGAACACATGTGTTTGCTGATTTGTCTATACAATAATCTTACCCCATGTGAACTGCGCTATTGGGAAGACATATAGAGGTGGGTTTGTTGCCCAAAATGAATTCCTTCCATTTTTTCAATTCAGCCACACCATCCAAAGCCAGTGATGTCTTTTTCTTAGTTTGATTGCTTTGTTTTCACAATGTGGGAGCTATGTCTAAGTGCTTCTGTGGCAGTGCTACTGGACCACATCAACTGGTGTTTTTGATTGGTCCAGCAAAGGTCAAAAACTAAATCAAAAACTTGAGGCTCTATCAATTTTTCAGATGAATAATCTTTTAAACCGGATGGTCAACTCGATAGAGTGCGGCCTATCCTACTGTGTATTATTTTCTTGCACACATAGCTGAGAAGCATGATCAAATTGCTGGCTTGGATTGACTTTTCTCGGATCTTGGATGCAGTGGATTGATCAAGTAGTTAATGGCCATGCCCCTTGACGAAGCAGACCTGGGTTTTCTTCCAGTGATCACATTCAACAAACAGACGATGGGGCTGTGTGAGAGTGGGTGGGTGAGACTTGAGTGTATGCTCTCCTGACGTCATCCTGATTACCTCATCCAAATCTCCACAGCTCAACCTACTCTACTTGAGTCTTCAAGTCTGACTCTCCTTGTTGACCACCACCTTGACCATCTTCCTTCTCTCTCCCTCCCTCCCTCAAGCGCTTCCCCATCCAAGATCAACTTGGGCACTCGATACTCCGAACAACCAATGTCAACTTGAAAACTACATAATCAAATACGATCTCCAAGAAAAATCAAGCATGGATATCGATGGGGCTCCGCTCTGTAGGGTATGTCGTTCCGATGACCCGACTCTCGGCCCACTCTTCCATCCCTGTCGATGCACCGGATCAATCGCACATGTCCACCAAGATTGTCTCTCGACCTGGCTCTCTCACTCCAAGAAGTCGTCCTGCGAGCTGTGTGGGCATCTCTTCAGCTTCGAAAAGGTCTACAAACCCGGCTCACCCGATCGGCCACCCTTCACTACAATCACCTGCCAAGCACTCAAGGAAATCGCCCTCTTCCTCCTACTCCTCTCCCGCGCTATCCTCGTCGGCCTCTGTTGGCTCGCTATCGTCCCATGGACCGTCGTCTGGGTCTCATCCGCTTACTGGAAGGCTGCTGATTGGTTTGCATTCGGTCTAACCTCTAACATCGATCAATGTGTGTATGTTTTGATTTGTTATTACGAATCCTCAATAAAACAGACATGGAATCAATCACAGGACTGATCTTATTTTCTATGAACCGATTCGCCCGCACATTCATATATCTATATCAGTATCCAGGTCTTCCAACAGCTCAAAAACCTCAACCTCGATCCTCAGTTCTTCAACAAATTCTTCTCCCGATTCCAAGCCATCAACAGCCTCATCCTCCCCTACCAATACTACCCTTCCTTCTTCCTGGATCACCAACCTCGTCCCATCATTAGAGCTCGACCCAAACTCAATCGCCCTCGACATCTTTCAAGGTCAACTGATCACCTGCGCTATCATCCTAAGCTTTGTCGTCATCTTCCTCCTCCGAGAGTGGATCCTACAAAACACACCCCCGCCTGATTTGATTAGACTAGCCGAGGATGAAGAACTTCCTCAGCAGCCATTGCAACCACACCCTCCTGCTCCAGATCAAGCCCGGCGTGCACCTTTAGAACAAGTCGAACAGGCCATCCAGTCCGAAAACCAATCAACCGATCGTGATGATCTTAACCAAGACAAAAGCGCTGACCCCAGCAGAATTAATGGATCATCCGACTCGAATGATTCAATCAATCTGACCCCTCTACCACCCAGTCAGACTGTGTTTGCCGACAGCAAATCGATTGTCCCCACCTTCTCCTCCGATTCGTCTACGATTGCGAGCGTCCTCTCTAACACTGAAACCACTTGGACCAAGGCTGGTCTTCTCCCAGAGGAACAACTGCTGCCCACCCCAGGTCTCCTCGAACTGGCCGATCCAGGTCTCGGTATGCCTTTCTACAAAGCTCACGACCCGATCGATTCCGACATTTTCTCCCATCGGATCTTGGTCACTTCTACCTATCTCCTCTTTCTGGCCAATCCATCCGATGCTCCTCTTCTTGCCGCACCATCTAAGTCTCCCCATTTCGGTGACCCGGATGATAGCCAAAAGAGGCTTATCGGAGCCTGGACGGACCTAGCCGAAAACACCATCTTACATCCTTCAAATCACATCCCTAGTCCGATTGTTCAACTGAGGACTCACGTCTCTGACTCGTTTCCCGAAGATCATCCCCCGGCCAACCCGATCATCTTTCAAGAGATTGAATTTAACTGGACACGTGCATTATTAAGTGACCCGAAGATCTGCAAGCACATACAATACCTCTTCAATCCTCGTTGCTACTCCACCCAAACCATTCATTCTCAAGATCAGATTCGGATCAACGGCTTGGTGTACAGCTTACTCTCGATCTATAACTCGATCGAAAGCCTCAGTGTGATTCACGAGAGCAGCAACTCAGAAGAAGAAGACACCGAATCAAATGGATATCAGCGTATATACGACCTCATGAGATTATTTGTGTTGCCTTTATTGGACGTTCCTAACCCAGGTCTGCGCAGTTTTCGGTTAACCCAATTGGAAGCCGATATTCACGAGATGATCTGTAAACATGATCCTGTCTTCCTCTCGAATCTCTCGCCTGATCAGCCCTCCGTCGGTTCACTCAAGCACTCCCTCGTTACTATCTTGGTCAAACAAAAAATTCTAACCACTTTGGTCAACAGTTCTACGTTTCTTAGGTATAGTCGAGGCATGGTCAGTCGGATTTAGCTGATTGTAATTATCAAGGAATAGCAAAGATTGATGCATGGAATTTCCATCCTCCTCCCCTCAAACCCTATATTTGGACCAGGCGTCTGATGACAATTTGTTCACTAACTGGCGATTAAAGTCCACCAGGCCATTTTCTCAAAGTTTCTTGGACCCGCAGCGAGTAATCAATCCCGAGAATGATCTTTGCGAAATCACGATCCAGTTGATTAATTTTAAAGCGACCGTCGAACCTCGTCTGAAATTAAACAAGCCTGATGATGAAGACGTTCCCGATTGGATTGATCATGCGACCTTGGACCACAAGCTTTTGGTCACTTCATCTTACCTACTCTTATCTGATGAAGTCTGCGATACTTTCTATCCAGCCCTTCATACCCCAGGTTTTCTCAACGCACTAGAAAATCCAAACAAGGACCAACAACATAACGAGATTTTACTATTGCAGGCATGGCTCAAACTAGCCACAAACTGTGCTGCAAAGAGCTCAGAACTTTTACTACGTTTCAAGAATTTCGCACTACATTCATCGGTCATTTCGTTTGAAGATCGAATTCACAGTTTTCAACGGTTGGAAACCGAGTGGTTGTCGAAACTACTGAGTGATCCCTCGATTGCCCAGTTTTTGGTTCTGATCCTCACCCAGAACAACGAGAACGAGCGAGCGACAGCCAGCTTGAGCTACCATACTCCCCATTTCTTCCTCCTCAAATTGTTGTATGTCTACACCGTACTCGAAACTCTGATTCCGAGATCAGAAAGTCAACAGGCTGGGATCATTTACGAGAATGCGTCAAAGATCTTGGATGAGCATCTCAAGAGACTACAAGCCGAGTCTTCCGATCGGATCCATCAGGTCTTGGAAATGATCAGACAAACTCGATTCCTCTTGGATTCTTGTCAACCTGCCAAGTCCCTCTCTGGATCTACTAATCCTCCCAACAACGACATGGAATTGAGATCCGAACTGCTGATTACTCGGATGAAAAGAGGCATCATTGGAATCCTCGCTCGTCAGAAAGTCTTGAGCTTGATTGTCACTGATCGTAGGTTTACTAAGTATGCGCGTGCCATGGTCTGTCTCATCCTTTTCTCTTAATATGCAGTTTTTTTGGTCACTGTTTCCCTTGAGATTCGAGGATCTCATGTCTGATAATTTATCTGGTCTGTAGCTTTTTGAACCAAATTTATTTTCTCAAGTTACTACCCTTCCGATCCTTGAACAGCTTGAAGAAGATGATCAAAATATGCTCGATTATGAAAGAATAGATAAGGGGAAACAGAAGGCCCCCGATCAAACTTTGCTCGATGATCAAGCTGCAGGTCCCTCTGAGGAAGCAGCAATAGATGAGGAAGATTCACTCATTAAATCAGAACACTTGGCCGAATCGTCTGTTCTTGACCAATCGCTTGATCCTTCCTCTCATATCGACACCTTCGACTGGTCAGAAGATGCCGGGAAATGTTCCAGTCAAGCCTCAAGTACTCACGCAGACGGGAAAGATATCATATCCGGCAACTTCATTGAATCTTCCTTGGCCGATGATGCAAACCTCCTCTCGACTCAATCTGTATCTCCTGCAGAGGACCTCTTGCCTACTGAGAATGGGTCGACATCAAGTGCACCAAAGATTGGTACTCCAGCCCCGGGAAGACAGCCCGTTACTGAACACCATGAACCCGAGCCCCAACCGGATAACAACGAGCGCGTGGCCAACCTGGATATCCTAAATCGAGGTCGATTACAAGTTGCTGAGCGAGCCGTCGCGGGTAGGTTGCCAGGCTTTGGGCCTCAACGACTTCAACGGGAAGCGGCTCTCGGCCCAGGCTTAGCGGACGGGTTCGTGTTTGACGAAGCCGGTGGTGCCAACGCCGCAGACGATGAGCTGATGGCAGAAGATATCGACGGGATTTTAGAGCTCATCGGGATGAAAGGTAGTCTGCTCATGTTGGCCCAAAACGTCGGCTTGATGACTATGCTGCTCTCCCTCTCTCTTCTCGCTTTTGTTCATCTTCCTCATATGATCGGCAAGATCGCTGTTTTGGTCCGTTTGCCTTCTTATTTGCTTACTTCCTCAACTTATATATCACTAACTTCATTTTCTTCCCTCCGTTTGCTTAGTCAAAAGCTCATAGATTGTTGGCCCCACCCTTGAAAGGATTGCTGATCCTCCAACGTTGCGTCCATCGACTGTTGGACTGCTTATCTGACTATGTCAAGCTTCATTTATTGCCAAATTATCAACCCCCTGCAAAGATTCAGCAACTTTGGTCCTTCGCAGGGTCACCAGAAAAATCGTTTGCAGGACTCTCTCAATGGCTCGATCGATGGCCAATCACAGAACTAGTAAGGTTGAGTAAGACTTTGGTCGATCAGGGAAGACCCCTTTTCTCGAGCTTCCCCTCGTTGAATACGGTCTGGCAAAAGATCCTTGATCGGGTTGGAGACCGACTGAACGGCATAGCGTATGGCTCGAAACCTATTGATCGGGCGCTTGCGGTCTTACTTGGTTATTTCGAACTGGCTTTGATGAGTTTGTTCTACCTCTCCTCCGGTCTCGATCAACAACGAGCGCGATTTGTTAGTGAGACGATCGTGAATGGGATGCAACAACAACTGTTGATCGGCAAAGTCGGGATCTTCATCTTTGTCGAACTGGTCATCTTCCCATTCCTCTGTGGACTACTCCTAAACTTTACAACGATCCCAATATTCGCTAATGCTACGTTCAGTAACCGACTGGAACTCTATAGCTCGGCGCCATACTCGGCAACCTTGATCACCTGGTTGGTCGGGACTTGTTTCATGTTTAGCTTTGCCATTCTCGTCAGTACCTGTCGCGAATCGCTCCGTCCCGGTGTCTGTTGGTGGATCCGAGACCCATCGGATGATCGGTTTAATCCCATCAGGGAAATCCTCGAACGGTCCGCGTGGAGTCAAATCAAGAAGATCTCCGCTTCGGCTATCATGTATGGAACCGTGGTCGTCTTTGGACTCGGCTCGATCGTCTTCAATCTTGTCTTCTTTACCGGTACCCTTCCCTTGAGAATTCACGCTGATCGACCAATCTCAAGTTCGGCCTTAGATCTGGTGATCTATCAAACCTTTTTACCTTTCTTCTTGGAATGCTTCCAACCTCGTACAAGGCTGAAGGAATGTCTTCAAGCTGTCAGTCGTTATGTGGCCCGTCAACTTCGACTGACTTGTTATCTCTACGGCGAGAGACGCATCGCTGAGGAGACCACGCTCGAGGTCGTTGTTTTTGGATCTGATGGCCTTATCCGACCAGTTGAAAGAAGGGCGCGATTCTCACCGATGAGGTTCTTTAAATCTCACCCCTGTCGATCATCATCATCATCATCATCATCTGGGAAGAAGGAAGATCGAAGTCAGTCGAAGGGGGTGTCGAAAGGCACCCTGAGTCGACGACGTAAGTGGGCGGGGGGCTCGTTTGCCCGGGTGCCGGCGTCGGACGCGGTGAAAGTGGTACCAGGGCGGAAGATGCATATCCCGGTGCATGTGGATGGCACGCCAATCGACCCGGCGGACATGGCTATCATTGAGCAGCAGCAGGCTGAGGCGCGCGAGGAGGGAGGTGCTGCTGGCGCGGAGCAATACACGATCGTCTATCTCCCTCCACAGTTCCAGATCCGTATGACTGCCTATGTTATCTTCATGTGGGCTGCGGCAGTCCACCTCGGCTGGCTTGCTATCGGTATTCCTCTCCTCCTCGGTCGCTTCCTCCTCGATCGGTTCTTCATGCCCGACCATCAAGAGCCCCATGATGTCTATGCTTATGCGCTCGGAATGCTCTGTTGTGCCATCATTTTGTCCCTGACCATCAAGGTATGGGCTGAATACTCTAGGCTCTCTCAGTCGAGCGTCGGTGGAGAGACTGGCTGGGGAGCGGTAAAGGCCAACGAATGGGAGCTTGAAGGGTCTGAGGCCGGCTCAGAAGACGATGAGTCTGAGGAAGAAGAAGAAGAAGAAGAAGAAGAAGAGGGCGCGGGAGCGGCTCCAGATAGGGCCGGAAATGCCGACCGGGCTGGTCGAGTCAGGCCGGTCCGGTCGATCTGGAGACGGCTCGGATCACAGCTCTATAATGCCGGTCATATCCTCGTTCTCGTCTTGGTTGGTGGGGTTGGGCTCCCCATCCTCGCCGCCATCGTGGTCGAACTCTACGTGCTCGGCTTAGTCAAGCCTAAACAGCCAGGATTACCCGCCATCTTCCTCCTCGAAGCCTGGACTTATGGGTGTATCTATCTCTCGATCGCCGCAAGACTTTTACGGTTATTGGCCCCGACTCATTCGCTCTCCGTAGCTCTCGACCAAGTATGTCCCTTTTTTGCTTTTCTCTTTCTCGCTCCCTCGTCTTATCCCAAATCATTGATCTGGCTGGATCTGTCTTTCTGTGTGTGTGTGTGTTTAGATTGTCGTCCGTTGGAGGGCTGGCGAGGTCGATAGGGTAGTCCAAGAGATCAACCTCAACCTGCTCATCCCCATAGGATCTCGTCTACTCCTCTCCATCCTCCTACCTTTTCTACTCGTCCAACCCATCGTCCTCTTACTCTTACGTGAACGAGACTCGATTGGTAAGACGATGATAGGCCATCAAATTGGAAAGATCTTAGATTGGCTCGGCCTTTCTACTTCTTCTTCTTCGACTACTATTCACTCATCTTCTTCTACTCATCATCTGAATCAGAGCGGTGTCAATCCATCCGAAATCCTCTCCTATCTTCTACTTAGACTTATCTATCCTCTTATTCTCTCCTGGTTCTCCCAACTTCTTATCGCTAAAAATCTCTTCTTACTCTTCTCTAATTGGATTGAAAAAGTTAGGGATGATCGGTTCTTGGAAAATCGTAGACTTAAAAAGTTAGTCTTTCCCATTTTATTTCTTAACTTTGATTTTCTTATTGATTTTTTCTATTTTTTTTTCTTCTAGTTATGATCCTCCAGTTGGTTTTCCTAGTTCTTCTGCTGGTCTCCTGAAAGATGATACTGGCCAATCTGGTTCCAAATAAAACCAATTTGATCCACACTTTTTTTCTCAAGCTCTTTTGATAACCTTTTTCTTTTTTGCCATTTCTTTCTTTCAAGTTTTCATCTTTTTTGCAACCTCATTTGTCAAACCTGATTTCTTTCTCCTTTTTTCATTATAAACCCTTCAAGTTGTTATCTTTCCTTTTTTTCATGATTAAAAAAACTTGTTTGATTTTCTTTTGTTTACAAGATATGTGTGTGTGTGTGCTTTTTTTCTGGTGAAGGTTATGATTGAATGTTATATCTCATGTTTATATATACATACTAAGAGTTTTCAAAAGAAATCCAAATGTTGCATGTAAAAGTGTTGTTTTTGATGGAGGACTCACATGTAGAACCAAATCAACCTTCATCATTTCTTTCTATTTATGTGTTGTCAAGATCAATCAAGTTGATTGACATATATTTTACATCTCATGAAGTGGTTTGCTTTTTCCATTTTGTTTAGATATACAGTTTCCTTTTCCTTTGAATGTCTTGTTTTGTTTGCAATTTACCAATTTCAGGTTCTCAATCATATTCTTGATTAGGGCAGTTTATGTCAACCCAAGGTTGGAATCAATGCTTGACAAAGCTCACTTCATGGGGTTCAAAGTTCAATGAAATGCAAACATTATATAGACATCCATGTTTTGTAAATAATCAAATCTTGTTGGGTGTGGGAAACCTGCAGATCACATGATTGGATTGTCCAGATTTTCCGCAAACAGGATTGTATCATTGATGTGATATGCATGTGTGTCCTGGATTCCTGAGATTTTTTTCTGACATCTCAGCTGAGGTCTAGCTTAACAAAGCCTCTCTCTCCCCTAGAGTCCCTGCAGGATACTATCTGTAGGAGAGGCTCATACACCAAGTCCAATCCTTGGCAGGGACTGGAAGGATTTTGAATCCCATTATCACTAAAACAGGTGACTTGATCAATGAATTGAGAAGTGCTGTTTCAACTTTCTGACAAGCGCTGCTATAGATATTTTAGATCCAGAAGATCCACATATAAATTGGCAATAGAACAACATAAAGAGAAACCAAAAAGGCCGTATACCTGCAAAAATTCAACCACTATTGTGGATACTTAGATTTATAGGATTGAATCCTGTGAATCCTTACTTACTTTCCGAAAATTGTGATTTTGAATCTTTCTTTTAAAAAAGAAATGTGCTCAAGTGGTTGGCTCCCAGGAGGTGGGACTAGTACCAAAATGAAGCTGAGAAGGTCTTTTATAACCTGGCTCTCAGACAGGTTCCTGGAAGTTACCATTGATGAAGGGCAAGAAAAAGAAAATCTCACTAGTCAAAGTGGGATTTCTGTCCCAGCCAGAAATCTGATGTTATACACAAGCCCCTTCCTGCAGGTTGGGGTAACACTTTGCTTGCCTGCCAAAGCCCAAAACCAGTCGAGGGGATTAGATAAGCCAGGGCTGAGGTTGATTTCCACAAAGTTTGCCATGAACTGTATGTGAATTGCCTTGTTGTTTTGCAAATATTGCAGCAGTTGAGCCCCAGTGTGCATTGCTTAGTTGAGCTACAAAAATTCATGAAATGATTCATCTCAAAATCATGTTAAAAATTGGCACCCTTTCTGGGTGTGGTGGTTTTTCATCCAGGGTTCGAAATTTCTTTTAGCAACCCATTCATCAGTCATCAGTCATCACCCTGCTATAGATACTGGTCTTGAAATTTTCACATTTTGGCAAAACCTTTCAGGGACAGGGGGGTTCAGGTGACTTTTTTGGTTTAGCATATCCTTTTTTTGAAAAAGTGTTGAAGACATATTTGTGGGGGTCACAACAGCCTTTTTTACTTCTTGCACCCATTAATTGTTTTTCTTGCACAGGTGTTTCTTAAATAAATTTTATAACCTGAAGTGTTAAAGTTTAGCATTACATTTTAAGCCCACAGCAGTGCTGCTGCTTCTTGTGGTGACTCAGAAAGCCTCTTGCAAGAAGCTATTGTGAACCCCGCTATATCAACAGGGTTGAACTAGTTTTTGCAATTCCTAAAACTCATGCAAGTTTCATCTGAATGATGAGTCTCAGGGAATTGAAAACCTTTTGTGGCATTTTGCTGTGAACTTTGTATTGTTACATGTGGGGTTGGTCCTGGTTTATGTCCCAGCTACCTGTGACAGCTGTGTTTTCTTCCTCATAGGATCCAAATACAAAAAACCTGAAGGGTTCATATGAAAACAAACTAGTTAGGTACCCCAGCTATGGTGGTTCTCCTCTTGACCTCTGCGTGGATTTTGATCATGCCTATTGGTTAGAACCTGCCCGAACTGAGTCTAGTATTGCAAAAAGCTCCATTAAATTTAAGGTTAATTTAAACCCAGATTGGAATGAAATCGATCCTGTGTTTTGCAGCATAATCAGCATAAGTCATTCCACAAGGATCTAGTGGTCTCATCAAGTAACACATATCTGTTCATTATTTAAGTATCGAAGTTGGCAATCCATGAAACTTGTTTTGCTATCTATAAATTGTTCTTCCCTGGAATCTTCGAAATGCAAATGATTTTTCCCATGGTCGCAGGCTACATTCATATGAACTTCAAGCTGGTCCGACCTGGCTCCACATGGAAAAATGGTTTTTCTGTCTTATCTTTTTCATAGATTCCCCACATGGAAACTTTCCCTCATGTTCTACGCTTCATCCAAGTGGCTAAATAAAAACGGTTGAATTGGCCAGTCCATTCGCAGTGCTTGCTTAGGGATTATCGATCTTGAATAAACGTTGACGATGAAGACTTTATGGCAAGTGTGGCTCCTGCAATTATCTAGCGTAGATGTATTTCTTGTAAGAGCACCCACACCGGGTAAGGTATTCAAAATACGATAGGGGCAAAACATTCTCGTAGCGTGCGACAAGCTTACTGACTAAAACGCGCTTTCCACATGGCCAAATCACCTAGGTCAATTTGGGGGTCTGGACCATGGTGACCTGGTATCCGACCGATTGGAGTTAAGCCCTCCGCAGATTGATTCAAGTTCCGATAAGAGCCCTGGAACGCACCATCGTGAAATACGTGCGTTTATTCTTCTTGCCTTAGATAAGGTTGGTGACCCGATGTTACTTCCCTCCTAACATTTTGGTCGCCCGGCTTCCCCACATGCATGATCTTTGTGTGGTTTCTAATCACCATTCATGGTGGATGTAATAGGTACGACGCTTCAACCACCTGACTTGAATCCGAGTCCAAGTCGGCAAGATCAACCCAGATTTGAGGTTTCATCATCGAATAGCGTTGAAGAAATTGACTTCTTAGGTGGGCTTTGAAGCATAATGGCGCGTGACCCGGTTTGCGCTTGTGTATCTAAAACTCGAATTTATTAACTCGTAGGGAATCCAATCCAGTCAAGGAACTCTGACTGGCTCGATAACCAAGCTCTCAGGAACATAGAAAACCCAGCTCCAGTTCCGCATACTGCCAATAACTGTGAGAGACACCATCTTATCGATGCCATTGAGGCCAGTGCAGCTGCTATCGCGAAAAACCAAAAGCTGAACAGCCTTCATGATCTATATGCCATCTGATAAAATTGACGTCCTAGATCAGGAACCCTGGCTGGATTTGAATTTGCTTTTGGATAACCCGACGACAAAGAAGAGGAAATACAAAAGTTCCTTTCAAGCCCCAGGGATGATGGCTGATGATTTCGGTGGGTGGAAGTTTCATGATGAGATCCATGATCATGGTTAGTCTCCAGACGTTACCTCCGGAGTATAGGATTAATATATTGAATTCATGTTGGCGTTTTTGTCCATGAACTCCAGTGCCAAATAGCGCTTTCAAAATTGCATCACTGGATTCTGATTCATCCAAAGAAATCACACCAGACTCCTTGGAAGAACTTGAAGGAAAAAATACAAAACCATTGCACACGGGACATAAAAATTCACCTGGCATATTTTTTCACCCCCTCGCACATTTCGATACCCCAGACTTAGCTGATCAAGAGCTCTTAGTTCTAAATAAAGCGCAATATTTCCCTGCTGAGAATACAAATTCCCCGGCCACAATTTCTCATTCACCCACTGGATTAGCTTCAGAATCCACTGCAAGCCTTCGAGAAGAACCATGTTTCCCGAATAGCAACGCAAATCCACCTGTTGTGCATGAACAAACCCCCCAATTGACTTCATCTAGTCATCCAAGACCTCACAATAAAAGTAAAAGACCACGCACCAAGCGGTACAGACACCCAGAAGTCCAAGTTGGCAATCCGCCGGCTCCACTAGATTGGAACCCGAAGCCCCGGTTCGAGAAAACCCAACATTTTTCTGAAAAGAATGATGATTACTTTAAAATTTTTGGAATGGAAGATGAAGAATTCGATGCTTTGGGTCAAAATTTTTTAACAACCTTGCAGAGAAAATCCACAAAATTAAATTTAGAAGTCCAAGCAGAAAGTAGTGAATTTTTCAAAAGACTTCGTGGTGGTAAGACCATGGTTTGGATTTTTGGGAATACAGTTTACAGGGCTGAACCAGAGGAGCAGCGTTTGAAATCGAAGTATGCTTCAACTTTATCAGAATTTGAAAAAATATTTGCGTTGAAAATCGAATCACTTATCAATCAAGGCCAATCATCCACAAGCGAAGAAAGAAATACTAGAGGTGTTTACCAACTTGTTTTGCAATTTTCCGACATTCTTTGGATCAACAACTTGAGATTACTTGACAGTCTTGGACTCAAAGACGAGAAATATTATTTGATTGCGCATGCCTTGGTTTATAGGTGGCTTCTGAGGTGCACCCAGGATGATCTAGAGCATCTAGTGTTAGAAATCTTCAAGACAGCCCTCACGTTGGATCCATCGAAAGAAAGAATTTATCGTATGTCTAAACTGAAAAAGAACGGTGCAATTGTTTTTCATGGAGTAATATCTGAAACACAAACACTACTGACTGAAGCAGTCATCCTTTTGTTGGCGACTTACTACAAGACCGTCAATGAAGAAAAGTGGGAATTAGTACTTGGAAATGACTCCCGGTTTCTATCGCACATAGTGAAAAACCAAACCGAAGCTTTTCATTCGGTGACTCGAACATCACGAGCCAAGATGAGATTGCTTAAGCTGTTTCCATGGGTGGGCAACTTCCACGAATTCAATACCTACGAGTTACTGAGTGGCCTGCGGAATCACAGAAACCATCGGGTTGATCTGGATTCGTATGTTCAAGTTGAACCCCGTCTAGAAAAGGGACAGTATGAGGAAATTGGCGAGATCCCTTCCGAATTGACCGAGACAGGTAAAGTTGATTCCGAGCAAAATATGGATACAGATAGTTGGGTTAGGTGGGGATGGATCTCAATAATTCTACAACGTGCACATACAGTAATGGAGAAATCATTGACAATAGAATTCACTCAAACAATGCTGGACGTGGAAGCCTTCAGAATGCAAGTACTCGGTCAGAACAAGCATTTTGCCTTCAAGGAAATTGCTGAGAATGGTTTTTTGAAGCGAACACATATTTTTTTGAAAGTACTCTTAGAATTAAATAAAAGGTTGATTGAAACATTGGGTCACCGGCCAATCGACTCATTATATTTAGAAGAGCAAAACAAGATACAAGCCTATTTTCTTCACTTAATCAAATCGTCTCCAAAGGTTTTATCCGGGGACTTGAAGAACAATGAAGAAATCGACTCTGGAAAACCAAGATTCATCCAAGGGTTGATTTTCAAAGCAATAGACTGCAGCAACATTGAAAGGCTATACCTACCGTACCCTGAAGCAGATGCCAAAGTGTCTCAGCAAGAAATAATTATGACTGAAGCAGCAGCAAAGATGTTGGCTTGTTATTACTACCAAAACAATTACTTAAAATGGAAAAACTTGTTTCATGATGAAGATAGTTTTTTTAGGTCATTTGAAAAAATTGAAAGGAGACTGGACCTCATACCCAGCTATGAAAGATTCTACAGAGACAGTTTTCCCATAATGCAAAAGGCCAGATTATTCCCCTGGGTCAATCCATTTATAACTACAAGCCAACAAGGCAGAGTGACAGGTCTAATTTTTAGGGCCGGCCACTATGCAAGAGGTGCTGCAAAGAATGTCTCAAAAACAACTGCCAGAGGAAAAAAACTAAGAGGTGAACATTAAACTCTGGCAATCAAGATTAATTGTGAATTTTATATTTGTGTTCAATTATTGATCTAGTTGTGTGAATTTTTTGTCATTTCTCATTGCAATTTGGTTACTAAGAAATGAAATTCCATTACTATCAAGATGTTTAAAATCAACTAAGAATTTCCAAAGGAGTCCAAAAATATTGACCATAGTCCAAACCAGACATTTTATCATCTTGGTAAAATGTTTATATACCAGCTTGAAAACAGGGAATAGTAGATAGAACCATCCAATGTGAAACACATGCATTCAGTAGATTTTTGTTTCACATTTTCAAAATATTATAAATTTCTCAAGTCAGCTCTTCTGTAACCCATGCCCTTGTTGACCCATACTCTCCATTAAACCACAGTGAAATGGTCCACCAATTCACTCATATCAGTGGAAAACCCTCTGAAGTGACACATTCTCTCTACTAACCCATAGCACTTTTTGTCCACCAAGGGGGATGGGTTAATGGAGAGTTGCATGTAACAGCTTGAAATATCCTTTGAAGCCGTTTGATAGGGGCCTAAATTGTAAGAGTCACATCTAAATTTTTGATGTCATTCAATTTGAGGACACCAGAACAAAGTTGAAGCTTTGGGAGCCCAGAATCTAGAACTGCAATATGTAGTATTCTAGCTCAGTAGAACAAAAGTCAGAGGTCTCTGGGAGGGGAAAGAAAAGGCTAAACTGCTTTTCAAGTAATGATTATGTAATCTTAGAATTAATGTTTTTGATACCTATACTGGGTGGAGGTATTAACATCATTCACAATGCTTTTTTTAGCATTAAAATTCTCTAGTGCATAAATTGTTCTCTTGTTAGTTTCACACCAACTGACCAAAGGAAACAAACCTAATTTCATAGAGATTAACAAATATTTCAATCTTTTGAAGATACTCCACTGGAGTTGATCAAGCCATGGCTATTCATCAATTACAGCTAATATACATTCTCAAATCATACTAGGACTCACTCTAAAAATTGGATAAATTAATTCTTTGCCAAGGTGGATGTCAGCGCCGGTCTCTTGTGTGACCTGGCGTTGATGGGGTAATGGGTCTTACTATAGCCTGTAAAGGCCAGTAGAAATGAAACCTCACCTTGACGCTAGGAAGCAGAGGGGTTAGCTCCCTGGGTTAGAGGGGACAACAGTGGAATGAGCATCACTGCGCCTGAGCTCAGAGTGGTAGGATGACTCCCTTCTAGACTACAGTAGTGAATTAACTGCAGTCTAGGATAATAGAATAATGATCAAGATAAAAGGTAAAGAGAAAGGGGAGAGTGTACTGCTAAAACCCCACTCACTAATGTTAAGTAAGGTAAACGGGTTTGTATGGCAATAATCTCTGGGGGGAGGATTCTTAGAGGGAAAGCCTTCCCTTTAAGTATTGCAAGGCAGGGTTCAGGCTGCCTGTTGGACCGGACAGGTCCACAGATGATCATTTATGTATTTAAATCATAAATGATCAAAATAGGTATTTAAATTATGATCAAACCAAAAGTGGAGGAAATGACATCATCTCTCTCTCTGGGTGAATCAATACAGAGAGAGATAAATAATTAAATCCTCATTGGTAATCATCTCTCTCATTACAGCAGATAATCAAGAGAGAGATGACTAAGCTTTTAATACATATGTATAATATTTATTTATTACATAAGTATAGAATAAGATACCAAGGACACTGGGACGTGGGTACATCCATCGAGATATACCTCATCCTTTGAAGTGGTCATCAAACCACTAAACTAAATCAACTCATGGAAATATGAGCCAATGCAGACATTTGGACATGTCCTACATGTCTCGTGGCTGACAGTGGAGCTGGATTATTGTAGGTTTTAAGCCCTCCCATGTACAGTGC